GTTACGTCGTTAGTAACGGCTCAAAGTTTCTTGCGGTTCACGATGCAGTGTTATGGAACATCCTGTGATGAAATACTGCACCAGTTAAAAGCTACGTCACGAAATCATTAGGTCTTGCGCTTGGTGAAACCCAGCGGTGCTCATCTGCAGAGAATTGGATCGTTGAGATGTGGAAAACAGTGCGCGTCTTGGTTTGATTTTTGTGTTCAGCGTCGCAAATAATTTAGGTGACCGCAGAGTAATGTTTTCCACTTGAATTACTCAGTTATGAGGCTAATGCCTCACATGATGACCTGTGATCTGTACTGATAAAAAGCTGCTTCGTCGTCTTGAAAAGTATTAATAGGTTTGTCTCACAACCAATCATGAATTTATTTTTCACCGTTGGCTAAATTTTCTGCAGCGCAGTTGGTAAGTATCCTCGAGTTGAAACGCGTGTCTGTCATTTCAACAGATAACACGCTGAACGTTTTATAGACAAACTTAACAACTCCCTCTGAACCAAATCAAAATGGCTATTTACAATTAAATTCAATTATTTATTTTAATTCTATTAATTTCCCCAACACTCAGAATTAAACACTTTCCCCAACAACACTGTGTTTATTTTAATTCTATTAATTTCCCCAGCATTAATAGTCTCCGGAAACAGAGGCCGGTATAGTCAAGAAACTTTCGATCATCATTAACGCCGTCATTGTTTTGCCTCAGTTGATTTTACGGCGGTAAATTTCATTCGTAAAGTTGGCGCTGTGTGAATTGGAACTATCCATTAAACTGAAGAACAATGCACGTGGTGACATACACGAGTTATCCGCAAAATAGTGTTTAATATTGGGAAAATATACAAGCAAGTGTAAATACCAACTTTATAACGCGAACAACTATGTGATTAGAAATGTCATATTATATTTGATTTTTGTACTGTTCTAGAATTCTCGTAAACAAAATTTTCTTAAAGTTGGTACTACTATACCGAAAAGTAAAACCCCAGCACAGCTCTAAATTTTTTGAAAAATTTTCAAGTTATGAAACGATCTTTGAAAAAATTTCTGATCACTTTGTGATGATGAATTCGATAGCTTATTTCCAAATGTCGTGGGTATAAGGGCAAATAAAGGATGGATAAAAGAGACGTTGAAAATTATAATAATAAATAAACAAATGATAAAAGCCAATAAATAAACTTTGTTTCTATTGCTCATATGTTCTAAGTTCGGACTCAAGATTCGAACCCAAGAACCTTTATTAACCTAACCCTAACAAAGCAGTATGCAACGCAAAATTTTTTTTACATGTGTGTAATCGACTAATTTAAATTATAATATTCATAATCACCAATATAAACCACCACTGAATCGGTAATGATGATTAACTCAAAATAAACAGACCAAATATTAACATGTACCTCCCTGTTGGATAAACAAACAATGAATGAGTACATGTCGAGCCTACACGAGGTCACGTCAGAGGTGACTTGTCACCAAAATCTTAAGTACCGGTACCTAACATATGATAAGCACTTTTGCACTGCATACTTAGCACCAATGGTAATACGATGTCTATTGTTTTTACTAATATCGTTTCTAGGAGCATCATTAGCAGCATTTGCTGGAGGTAAATTAGATAAGCAATCCGACAATCAATGATATGACAGTCAAACAGTGAGCGTTGCTAATTTAAATCAAGGAAATTTAATTTCAAGACTATGGAGGAATTTAATCAAGACACCTCATTAGACTAGGAGGTCATCACATGAGACATTTCGTTATTTCAGCTTCGTAGATTCACATAAGGAAACAATTTTTGCTGCTGCGCGCTGACTGATATGTGCATAACGATATATTTAAGTTTTTTTCCTCAGTTACTTCTCAATTGTGCGGCAAGCAAATTTAGCCGAATACTTAGTTCGAATATTGTGCGTATGCGTTTTTACTTCAGGCAAAAATCCCCCAGTGCAGTGAAAGCACCCCTAAGTTTTGTCACCGCACCACGAATTGTTATCCTACGAATGTATTTGTTTTCAAATACACGACTGTGCTGGTGCGCTGCGTGCTACGAGTGCAGCAATTATCAGGTCGATATGCAATCTTTGGCAAAGCGAGACTGTCAACTTTCGTTCCTGAGCGACCGACGTTTTTTTTATGTTTCCTCCTTTCGTCGAACGAAAGGGCCAATTTAGGGCAGGGTTTTAATTATTCAGTATTTAGAAATTCAAGTTTTTACTGCGCATGTTGTCTACTGTCATTTATGGATGTTTTCTGATTTTTCTTAAAAGGATAATTATTTTAACATGAAGAGTATTGCAATTCAACTCTGACCCATGAATGATATCACCAACGGTAAACTTTGAACAAATTATTTAAGCTAAAATTTATTTAAACATAACAGAAGTTTCGAAAAACTAGACACATGATGGGACCCGAATGTAACTCGATATTATTTGAAAGGACCTCACGGGTGGAGACAGATTTTAAAATTGTATTATGAAATTTCTTGTAATGTTCTATACTGTATTTAATCTAAATATAAAATTTTAACATATTTTCTATCATTTGAATATATACGAACATTTCTACTACAATTAAAACATCAGTCTCTTGTTTTTACCCAAAAGAAAAATGAAAGGAAAGGACAGTTTCCGGTGACGTTGCGCAACAGGTATCAGTATTGTTGTCTAAAATTGTGGTTCAATTCAAAGTCTCTGACTATCAACGAACCGCTATTGAAATGATGCCAGGCCGGGCACGCAACAATTCTTCATCGTACACAATAGAAATGATTGGTTGAGCTTTACGTCACGATCTCCTGCCTCGCATTCACTATCACAGCCACAGCCCGTCGATCGCGCTCAAGGCAGTATTGTTGTCGCCTGAATGCTGCGCCCGTTCTTCCGGCTCGTCTTCACACTCATGCCGCCTGTCTTACCGTGGACATTGCGTTATGCACGGTTCCATGGAAAAATAAATTATTCACAATATATTTTGAGGTTATTATTGTCTAATGATGTTAGTAGATGTCTCTGCGATTTGACGCTCGATTCCGAAGTCGGAAGAGATTGGTAAATTGATTCACTCAAGAGAGTAAGATTCATAACCCAGTTATTCATATGAAACATTTCAGATCTCCGTGCAGCGTTTCGTGTACTCATTTGACTCGTTTACTTGTTCAACGGTCCACTCTGTGTTATTTTAATAAGAAGAATAAAAAAATTATGTTTAGGGCCTAAAATAATATTTGCACAAGGCTGAACTAATGCTATAGTTGCTTGCAAAATTCTAAGGCATTGTTCTATTACCTTATGCACAAGATCAAATAACTCTAATTATTGTTCGTCACTTATAATTTATTATGAAATGTATTGAAAGGGCCTACGTACATCGATGACAATGACTTCGTCTCTGGAAAGAAAGGAAGTTTTTCTTTTAGAAAGTGGCAGTTAAGCGTACTTGCATCGCATGAAAATTTGCCGGCTTCCCGACAATGGAGGGAGCCACCGCCCTCAGTGCCGAATAAGTGCCCTTTGTACGATTGTTTTTGTACTGATGCTGCCCGTTTATTGAAGAATAATTGAACGAAGGCTTTTTTGTCAAGCCTTAAAGTTACCACAAACGGGATTTTAAAAGACGTTTTAGTACCTGAAGATTGTTGGTTTTAACCGAATTTGTTACAGTGGGAAAGTTCAGTTGTATATTGTTTGGTGTTTACAAGCGTTTTGTAAGCTGAGGCTAGTATATATGGCTTTCTTGCTGTCGGAAAATTAATTTTTACGAATTTTACATATCAAGTAATTGTAAACGAACTATTATGTCTGATAAAACAATAAAAATTTATTCGTTAAATTTATTTGTTCGTTGTGACGTGTCCTTTACGAACTTAATTCTTAGTTAAGTTCTATGATTCGTGCAACTTAATATTTCAGACATATTCGTAATACTTTGAACTTAATAGTTCAAATTATTCGTATTAATTTAATGTGGTTTTGATTAGGAATCAATATAAGCACAGAAATGAAATGAAGATATTCCTCAAATTGCATTCGTAATTTTATAATATGTTACCTGAATAAAACTGGATTGATTCAATAACTGTGTACGTGTCTCGACATTATTTCATGGAAAAATTTCGATACTCGAGTGTTGGTATGAAATATTTTAAAGGCCCACAATAATTGGTTTCACTTTCCCTATTGTACTAGTTGAAAATTACCGAATCGTAATGCATTGTTAAATATGACAAGTAATATTCGTGAAACTTAGTGTAATTGCCTGAAACTTAGTGTAATGTATATTATAATGTTGAATATTTTCAGCGAATACCAGGACTAATATTCCTGCACTCACATTGATTTATTTGCCACAATACAACTCCAACCATATTCAGATTTATTTGATACGTTCTATTCGAAGCAAAATTCTTTGATTTTTCTTCGATATCACATTTCTAATTTTTGCTTGCTGATTATTGTTATTTTCACCAAAAGTTTTTTCTTATATTATTTTCAAGACTTTTTGTTCTTTCACCCAAAATATTATGGATTTCATTTATCAGTATGTGAAGTTTCTTTTTATTATTTTCTTTGTCAGTTTTTGACATTGGCTTAATGCAAAAATTTTTGTGTGCGTAATTAACTTTAGCGAGGTCATTCGTGTCGCTTTCACATTATTATGATCATTTATGCGCCTTCTGATCATTATGATCATTTGTGTCGCCTTCAGATTATTATGATCATTTGTGTCACCTTCATATTATTATGGTAATTTGTGTCGCCTTCAGATTATTATGATCATTTTGTCGCCTTTAATATTTATGATCATTTGTGTCGCCTGTAATAATTATGATCATATGTGTCGCCTGTAATAATTATGATCATTTGTGTCACCTTCAGATTATTATGATCATTTGTGTCGCCTTCAGATTATTATGGTCATTTTGTCGCCCTCAATATTTATGATCATTTGTGTCGGCATCAGATTAACACATTTCTTATCCCTGGGCAGATCTGAGACGCGCTCTGCGCATGGAGTCTCCCACTCCGCGCCTGAACGAATCCAACTTGAAGAAATTGTCCCGAGGCTTCAGGTGCGTTCCGAAAATTTCTTGTGGGTCTAAGCGTTCGTTGAGAAATTGTTAATGTTAATGAAAATAGTGTATAATTCAATTAAATCTATTTCACATTGAAAATCGAACAATTTCCTTGTAGGATAAATAATTGTCATAATTCAATGTTCGACAGTCGTTTGAAAATTGTGAGGAATAAGGAATTACGGTTTATTTCTGATGCATCGCTACTTCTTGTACAATATGCTGCAGATTTCATGACTCGAAATTCACCCAAATATTTATTTTTAATTCGAATTATAGGATATAATATCACAGTATTTCCTATAGACCGAAGTTTTTCTAGCAAATGTCGCAGGTATAACGCAACGAACATGATCTCTTGAATACATTAAGATTCACACCAGACTTTTGACGTTGCAATATCATTGATGAAACATTTTTTCAACGAAATCAACTCATAATCTACGTTGTTTCAACGTCATTTGCCTAGTGGACGTAATGCCTTGCCTCAAACTGTGGCAGACCGCCAAATGCTGTGAATGTTATTCTGCGATATTAGGAATCGGTGACAGGCCTAAGGCCTAATAAATGCTGAAACCGCTGTTATTATTTTATATTATTATTATGACTCTCCCTCCCACCGCAGGTCGTCTAAGAAGAGTCGTCTCTCTGCCGCCTCGGACGTTGAGTCCTGCAGCGTACAGGACGGCGTCCTGCCTGGGCGCTCAGTGTCGCTGGTGAGTTGCGGTGCTTCAAGAGCAGCTATATAGAACAGAATAGAAGTGTCGGCGTTGAAGAAATAGGCCCATGCCATGTTGCCGTTTCTTGAACTTTTCGTGACTTGATTCACAAGGGATCCGGCCTTTGGAACCCGATCTTTCCATAGCTGACGATTGATTGAGATAGCTGCTGGACTTATTGCCTGGTCCGTAATTTGCTAGGCATTTTAAGATGGAAAGGAAGCTCGTGTCAATTCTCACTCTCGTGTCAATTTATTTTTTAAGAATGTAAGTGTCGGCACTGAAGAAATAAGCCCATGGGCGGTTGCCGATTCTTGTACCTTTCGTGTCTTTTACTGGGCATTATTTTGATATTAGGTTAATTATTCGAAAGGATTTATTGCATTATGAGAGTCAAAAAACGACACTATTTTTAATTACATAAGAATGTAATTGATCAAAATTCAAACTAAATCATTTTAAATTGAATCAAAGTAAGCGCACTATGAGCTTAATTCCTTCTTGCTACATTGTCACAATTTCAAGTGAACTCTTGTAATAATTGACTTAGAAGTTGGTTTATTAATCGAATTCTTAATTGTTTTTGATTATTTCACGAATAAATCATTGCTTTATTTCTAATCATTGATAACAGGAATCCGACGTGCATTTTGTCACATTGAATGTAAATATTTATTGGCTATATATAAACATATAATATATAAGTAATATAAAAACGTCAAACAAAATCAGTGTGATTATGTTAATTGAAACTATTGTGAGGAAAAACATTTATTTTAAATGCATTTTTACTTCTCAGTTTCGTGAATACTAAGGAGATTAGTTTAAACAGGAATGTTTAAATGATTGACTGTTTTTACATTCATTTAATTATCAATGGGTATTGGTAAACTAATCTGATATTTTCGGTGTTTATTGATAGAATATTATGTAGTCTTTGAGCGGAAACCCACATTATTATAATGCTGTTCTGTTGCGTCTATCAAGCGCAAAACTCGGCAAATAACAATGATTTATAATTTGGTATTTTCTATGAACTAATGAAATAGGTATATCGAGAGAAATGAAATCTAAGCAATACAATGAGAAAAAAAGAAAACATATAGATGTATTTCTATCATTTACACCGGTAACATAAATGGAATTGTATGTTTTGGTATAATATTTTCTATTACGCGACGAAAATTCTGAAATTAAAATTGACAAAATGAGAATTTCGCAAAATTTACATAGTTTCCGTAAAAATTTTCTATCTCTCTACGGAGAAAAGACGATTTTGAAGGCTAACTCCTTCAAACGTAGTCATGTTCATACATTCTACCTATGTATGATTTTTGAATCACCATCTGCCAATATTTAATCAACGGTATGATATACCAATGGATATTTTGATAATTATGTATAGAAATCTTTCACTGAAATGGCCACTGATGGAAACCGAAATTTTACCGTCTCCAAGTGTTGTTTGAAGATCGTTGTTTAACGCCTTCAAAAACAGACTTGACGAGCTGTGCAGGAGCATATGTTCAGTCTTAAAATGCCTAGCAAATTACGGAGCAGGCAATAAGTCCAGCAGCTATCTCAATCAATCGTCAGTTATGCAAAGATCGGGTTCCAAAGACCGGATCCCTTGTGGAATCCTGTCATGAAAAATTCAAGAATCGGTAACAGGCAATGGGCCTATTTCTTCAATGCCGACACTTCTATTCTATTCTATTTGCTATCAAATCAACCACGTTTGTTGTCTAGGTCAAGTCGCCGTTGAGGCCCCGGCCTAGTCCGGAATATTATGCTTCCTCAGTTCCTTATGATAAACCGCGCATAATATCAGGAATCTAGGAACAATAAGCGATAAATTAAAATTTACGCTTCTTTTCCTCTTGCGTCATGGGTGCTTTATAAGAATAGTTTCCCCTGTTTCCATCTGAATTTATACGGTCATAAGGTGGGAGATTATATGCACGAAGGATCTTGAAGAGGAAAATTATCAACTTTTCATGAATGTCAAGGGAAGAAAAAATTACGACCTCGCTTGCCCCTGCGTACTATTGCAGCATGAGATAAATACATCGTGACACGCCAGTGTATTCACATTTGAATGAATTGTGTGTGAATCAGTTGAATATGATGTTGTAAATATCAGTAGTGAAATTTGACTACCTTTCCTAATATTTATCTTGACAAGTAATAAACCAAAAACGGAATTTTTAAAACTGCATTGAACTAGTATGTTCTTTGCCTTTATTTTGACCATTTTACAACAAACTTTGATAAATGGCCCCCATTTTATTACTAATGATCAGTAAAGAAAGTATTCTTCGTTGGTTCATTTGATATCGAAGCATCCCTTCACGCGCGTAAACTGCATCTGCTGCTGGGAAAGAATCACGCGCGCGATGCTCAATCAGTCGCAGTGCAGCGTTGCTGCCGAGTGGTGCGTACGGACGACGTTTCCAACTCGATAGAGTTTGATTTATAAATGAAACATCAAATAGATAACTAGTGTCAAAGTGAAAATCTTAAATGTCATAAGGAAACGAACAAGCAACTTGAAATACTTAGTCTGAAATGTATATATAACCTCAAGTGTGATGAGATCCTCAGCAACAATTATTTGCATTACAAAAATTATATGGAGACAAAAATTTACTCGCTAAACAATCATGCTTGTAACCCAAATACTGATTGATATATGTAAATTTTGAAAGTCTTTCCAATAGAATTCAAAATTTTTTAGGTATGGCCACATGCAAGAAAACGACCCCAAGTATAAATTGAGAGGCAGATTAGCTTGAAATTGCAGAAGTTATTGTGCAAGTAATTATTTTATGTGAGTCAAGAATATCTTTTCTTTGAACTGACAAGTTTAGCCGTAAATTTATTTTATCAAATCGAGGGCTCATATTCTGAAGGTGGTAATAAATATATTGAGACACTATGTTAGTTCGGTATCGAAGTCGTAAAATGGCTCTGAGTGAAGGAAACCAGGGTCCGTTTTTCGCTCCTTCGCCGGTGTTCCGGCATTATAAAAACCGCAGCCGGTTCCGGGTTGTGAGGGTGAGTGGGCGGTTGATGGCTATTAGAAGATTATAACACGAGTCGGTGAAATAAATTCCTACCTCAAAAATTTTATAATATAAAAACCATTCTGAACGCAAAAGTCTATTGAATACAAAGAGATTTAGGTTCATGCTGTCATGTTTTCATACAAATTGTGCTCGTCGTCTGGAATAAAATGTTAAAAAATTTACTTCTATGGACCAAAGTTACCCAAGACCAAAGATTGAGCTCGTTATATTTATTTTTTCAATTATGTCCATTTCTAATTTGAAGATGTTTCCATTACAAATTTTTCTACCAAGAAAATGTTATGTCCCGTGCACAGCTGGATACAAAGGATATGATTTTATTTCGCAATTTGAATTGTTTTTACACAAGTCCAGCCTACACTCGTTATCCTATTATTTCAGCCTTACAATATTGTGCATGATGAGTCTTGTCCAGATTACTTACAACCCACAATGAGCAATGATGGCCTCGGGAGCGCAATCAAACCCGACAAGCAAAATAATTGAACATATAACATTTAATCCTATCACATTTCTTCTTCCATAACTCATGGGGGCAAGATATATCATGGTTTAATTGCATCTGCCTGACGCAAGTAGTAGTAGTTTGAGTTACGAGAAGATAACCATTTGGCAGCGATCGATGAACGTACGTCCAACGACCGTTGGGCGAACGCAACGATCGTTGAACGTATTCGTATACGTTAGATGATCGTGACGCATGTAGTGGGGCAGGGTCGAAGCCATCGATTGCTGTTTATCTTCCACACTTCCTGCTCGACAGAGCCTGCTTTAATATGCGTAGCTCTGTAATACTCACTAGTCATAAGCCCGTTCTTATTATGACCTATACATTGTCCCGTACATACGTATGATAACTTCTTTCCTGCCTCTACAGTGGCATGTTATAGGGTATTATAGGTATTCGATCATATGTATTATGTATCAGTTATGAAATATTACACATAATGGTAAAGTATCCCGTAATATCTAATGCCATTGCGCGCAAAAAGAGTCAGTTAATTTTTGGTTTTCGGAATAAGCTCCACGGGCGATGACACATAATTAGGGGCTCAAATGTTCCTAGATATAATGCAGTGACCGACCAAACCATGTCTATGTTGAAAAATTTGCACAACGTCTGACTTGAGTTTCGCGTCATATTGTTTTGCACATGCGATCAAATTTGGAAAACTATCGACAAGATTTGCCTTATTGTCACGCTGCGTTATGCAAGATACACCCTTTCCTCCACGGTCACGTATCGTTATAACCTTTTTTCCACCCTCTGCCACACTGTCACGTTGCGTTATAAAAGTCACACCATCTGCTACAGCCTCATCATGCGATAATCTCGTAATGAGCCTCGTCGATACTTTTACTCAATGACTTCCTCTCACCGCTCCTGCCTTCAACTCAAACCCGCGCGTAGCTCTTCCCTCCAAGGCCATTATGCTTAATGATTTTTTTTACTCTTCAATGGAGTTGAGTTGACTGCAATCAGCTTCATATTTTTACGCAGCATGTAAATCGGCTTCATATTTCCATGAATTAAATCATAAAGTTTTAAATCATAAGTCGTAATGCCAATTTTCAAATCACTACGCGTGATGTTAATAATCTTCATAAATCCACGCTTCATGTGACTCAGCTTCATGTCTCTTCGCTTCATATGAATCATCTTCGTAAATCTATTAGTCGTATGAATCAGCTTCATGACTACTTGTAAAGTCAATCAACGCCACATCTATCAGTATCACAGAAATTAACGTCGGGCAATTAGCTTCGTGTCTATGAGCATTGTGTGAATTTGAGTAATATTAATTAGGACTACACAAATTCTGTTGAGAAAATTAACAATGCTAAATTTTTGTTCATTTTGTTTGATTTGGCGCGTGCAACTAAACATGTGTTGTTACTCAAAATAACCGTTTTATTTCTTTAAATAATTATTTTTGTGTGAATAGATAAATAATTCCGATGGATGACTTTCTGCACCTTGTTATTTCAGTCCACCCTCCTGCCCTCCGGACCATCAACAGGCAACCGCAGGCCCCGCGTGGACAAGCTCCAGACCGTCGAGGCGAAGGTGAGTCATTTTATGTGCGTTAAATATTCAAGATATTATTTTTCATGTTTTCTTTAATTTTTTTATGTTATTAGGCGTCTAACTTTGCAGCATAAATTTGTAATAATTATGCTAAAAGTTTTTTGATTATGAAATATTGAAAAGATTAACGAAATACCGTTAATTGACTATACATTATTTTGATGAAAATGACTTACGGGGTAATTGCAATGCATCTAAAAACACGAAGCAATTAGATACTGCGCTCTTGAGTAGTGAATCAAGTCAATATATTAAATTTTCTAAACATTTACTTGTGGAATTCTATTAATTTCAGATGAAAAATAATACGTCAATATTCCATCCTCTAATTGATGTGGAAGCCCAACGAGGAAAATGCTAGGTGATCTGATTGAAATATCACCTTATCAATTTGTGATATCAGATCTATTTATGTGCGGTATGAAATATGATAATTTTATATAAATTGTATTTTTTATTTATTCGTGTTATCAGATGGCGAGCATCGAGGTCTCGCTGGGGTCTCGTAAGCGGCGCGAGGTGTTGCTGGAGACGCTGCCTCGCGCGGCGCGGGAGCTGGTGCGCGAGCTGGACGTCATGCAGCAAGCGCTGCACGACAAAGACAGCGCCATCCAGGCGTGAGTTATAACGATAAAGACAGCGCCATTCAGGCGTGAGTTATCACGACAAAGACAGCGCCATTCAGGCGTGAGTTATAACACGGCTTTAATGGTGATGAGAAAACCATAAAGTTTTGTCTGAATTGTGTCGTCCCCCTGCTATAGTCTTTGGCAGTTTATCTTGGAGTTTAAAAAAGGCTGAATTCTAGGCCACACTATTTACGATGAGGTTTTGAAGAAAAGTTCAGGAGTATTAAAAGAGCATAATTATTATTTTTGTATGATTTTAACAAAAGTTTGTCTCATTAGTGATGCTCTATTCTCTTTATACTCGCACAGCCTGAAGTGCCAAGTCACAGCTCTCGGTGGCAACGCAAACTTCGACCCTGCAGACGTCCGGATTGCTGATTCTTCGTCCGTAGTCCAGTTGGCACCAACGCTTCCGACTTTATTGTCAGCCTCAGAACGAAAGCGAATCGAAGAAAGAATATCGTCGATCACGAAGGAAATTGACTCGAAGCGAATAGCAGTGAAGAATCTCAAGTTGACTCTTGACAACCTGGATACAACAGAGTGAGCAGAACCGTTTGTATGACGCCAGCGGTATAGAATGATTTTTTACTCTGGAAAATTTCTTTGGTTGGCTTTATACAATAACTCACTGCAGTTCTGTTGCATCCTTTTTCTAATACTATACTAATGAGCAATGCAATGTGAGAATCTACCTGACTCAAAATATTGCAATATTCGTTATTTTATACGATCGAAACAGGGTATTCACAACATTTGAGGCTCATTGTGATTTAGCACGCGATAATTAACAGGTTTTCTTCTTGTTAATTCATCATGACTTTCAAGCCTTAATTCCTTAATTGTATTATCGTAAAAATTTCATAATTTTCTCGAGTTTATGCACAATTTAAACTATCCATGACTCGCAGAAAAATTGAAATACTGCCCTATAACCTTTGCATTGAATTATTGCATCGTAAATTGTTAGTGATCTGATGTCACTTCCAACGGCAAATGATGAAACTGAAACTTATCCTCCTGTTGCAGGAACATTGACGTTAGGATCCGAGCCGCTGAAGTCGAGTACGAACTGGAGCGCGAGGAACTCAATATTTTGAACTTGAGAGAAGAGTCCACAATTCTCGAGGCCCGACTTAAGGAACCATCAAAATATTTGCCACCGCCGAACGTCAACTCAACTTTGAGAGCCGAAGAGTCGTGCAGTTCGTTGAACTCGTCACAAATGTCCAGGTCGTCATTCACAAGTGTTCCTCATTCACCCCAGAGTACGCGACATGTTGCCTGCGCCCTACACAAGACGCTAAACCAAGGCGCCGTTACGTCATTAAAAGATCTCCTGCAAGATCCTGAGATTCAAGGGCCAGTGATCCCAACGCTCGTGTCGGTACGGGTGCTATATAACCCCTCGAACCCCTCTTTTAGGATCAGCTGGCGCACACACTCCCCAGGATGTATAGTGAACTGGGCCACCGATGAAACGCGACTCAAGCGGGGCGACAGGTTGGTTACTATTGCACATATCTTGTACAATATTTGCGAACATTAAAAATAATCAATTTCTATCATGTTTAAAGTAATATTGTAGAGGTCTACGTCCTCGGCCATCTCTTTTGCAAGCCGCTTTTCAAAGACACAATCTATAAATAATCAACGTCGGTAATCGTCGCTCATTCCAATTTGTTTGAGAAATGAAAATACAGGTAATAATTCTGAAGAAAATTAAACTGTGTATCACTACAATGTAAATTATAATATAAATTGACTGCATAAAAGTAACGTAATCGCTAAAGGCATTTCATGTGTGAAAATTACTTGAAATAAATCATTCGAAGTATCTAGACTCGTAAGGATATTCGAAACGAGGTTTTACGTCAAGAAGTTTTTATAGTTCTTCGAATAATATTCGAACAGAATAATTTTCATAAGGCTACATGGTGGATGAATAATTACATGGTGGATGAATAATTAGGCTACATGGTGTATGAATAATTACATGATGGATTGATGATTAGGCTACATGGTGGATGAATAATTACATGATGGATTGATGATTAGGCTACATGGTGGATGAATAATTACATGATGGATTGATGATTAGGCTACATGGTGGATGAATAATTACATGGTGGATTGATAATTAGGCTACATGGTGTATGAATAATTACATGATGGATTGATAATTAGGCTACATGGTGTATGAATAATTACATGATGGATTGATGATTAGGCTACATGGTGGATGAATAATTACATGGTGGATTGATAATTAGGCTACATGGTGTATGAATAATTACATGATGGATTGATAATTAGGCTACATGGTGTATGAATAATTACATGATGGTTATAAAACTACATGGTGGATGAATAATTACATGGCGGATGGATAGTGAATAATAATATAATAATACACGATAATACACGGTGGATGAATAGTTACACGTTAAATGAATAATTACATGGTGGATGAATAATTACACGATGGATGAATAATTACATGGTGGATGACTGCACAGGTTGCTGGAGGTGAACGGTCACATGGTGCTGGGTGCCTCCATGCAGGCTGTGCTGCAGCTCATCGCTGCTCACGCCTTCATGGACATCGTCGTGCTCAGAATTTTGGCAGGTTCGAATTAAAAAAATATCTCTTCTAAAAATATCCTCACTCGTGCAATGTAAAATAAAATAGTCGTGATGATTTTTTAAATAAATATGGTTCCTGCTAAAAATTATTTTGTTAATTAGGAGTTACACATTGGAAAGTATTTCTAAAAATTATTTGCAGCGCTATGCTTTTTATAAGCGAATCTATATAAAAAATGAGAAAATTGTGTCTGAAGGTATTTCAATTTTCGACAGCAAGCTCAGTGTCGCCCTCAAGTGGACCAGACATTCAATGCTCAAGTTCTCAACGACGAGCTGAGAGGCAAGTTGAGGACCGCTCCAGGGAACTCAGAGAGCTGCAAATGAAGCTCGACCGAGCACTCAAGGAGAAGGAGACCGCCAAGTAGGTCTCCATTGTTTCATCGGACCTTCTCGCGAGAAATTTTAGTGTCGTTCTTACTTTTAGTCTCCTGGCTTTTTTTGATTTTCCATTGTCATTAAAAAGGCAGGAATAATCTGATAAAATTATAGTCTCATTCCATACAAATTATATTAATATTTGAGGAGAAATTTAGTGTCGTCCTAACTTCTAGTCTCCTGGCTTCTGTCGATTTTTCATTGTAATCAATATTATACAAGAATAATCTAATAAAATTACATGCTCATTTCGTACAAATTATATTAATATTTCAGAGTAAAAGCTATAAAATTAATTACGCTTTTACTTACAGAAACGACGCAACGCGTCTCACGCACCGCATCTCGTACCTCGAGGACCAAGTGGCAGAGTTCGAGGCCGCCGCTCAGCATAAGAGCGAGGGCTCGCAGAGTTATACTTCTCCGTCCTCGGTTTCATCCTCGCCCGCGTTATGTTTTTCGGGAGCCACGGTCATCCAGGTTGGTCATTGCAGTGATATTGTGTCAAATTAATATTAAATTAATTAATATTAATAAGAACGAGGGCTCGCAGAGTTCTGCTGCTCCGTCCTCGGTTTCATCCTCACCCGCCCTATGTTTTTCGGGAGCCACGGTCATCCAGGTTGGTCATTGCAGTGATATTGTGTCAAATTTTTAATCGGGATGTGTCGTAAGGTGCCTAAGTGAATTTAGTTCGGTAAAATATATGTAACTATCTATGTGAGTAATGTTCTTTTCCAATTTTTATGAAGGCTGAAGGTGGTGAATATGGTGACGAAGATTTGTTAATCGAGATATTTGCTGACTATAGGAACATGAATGGGTGCTTTCTTATTTCATTATAATTTGTACATATTTTCACAGTGGACACTCATTTTCACATATTCTCACAGTGGATTCTCTTGCAAAATTCTAACTAACATCAATCAAAGTAATCATTTCCTAGGTTGTTATTGGAAATTTCTGAAAATGGCTTCCGATCAATCTAATTCGAGATTCTTGGAATTTTTTCTTGTCATAGAAAGTAGGCACGTTTTACTTTCCGCATTTATACGAGAAGAATAATTCAAGTTCTGTATGCAGGTGCACCAGCGAGGTCAGCATCCTTTGGTTGCAACAAATTCAAACTCAGAAATTTCCTCTTCGGACGATCTTTGCACCGATCATCCGTCGATGTCACCAAATGATCTCTCTCGACCGAATGTAAGTTTCCCAGGATCATCTCCACGACGCACCTCATCCTCTTCATCCAGCAAATCCAGCACCCACAATCCTTCGTGTGATTCATCTTCTTCTGGATATTCGTCCTATCCATCGCTAAGAACTAGCGCGGGTCTGGAAGTCAAACCTGCAAGTTCTGGGAAACATTCGGATGAGGTGGAAGAACGAGACCTGACACGACCAGCCTCCAATACAGAACCCAGGAAGTCCAGAAGAGTGACATCACCGAGACCTGATTCACAAATCACGGTAAGTCTGACTAATTCTTACTTATTCATTGCTGCATTTCGATGAGTTTTGTGGTATCTTGAAACACATGTCACGCCCTATACTTTCGTCAAGTTCCTAAATAAATTCGAAAAAATTCATCTCTTTAGGAGCAATTTTTTAATTAATATTGATTTAATAGAATCGAGATAAACCAGGTTTAAACAGCCTTTAACCCTATGCACATGCTTAACGACAATCATGTGAATGTTTTCCGACTTACAGACGGACATGCACCCAGCGTCTCGAACCAAACCTGTGCCTCCTAAAAAGCCGGAACGTCTGAGCCTGCACAGAGCTACGAGTTTGCTGAGTGTGGATCAGGTCATTGCGAGCAGCTCGCGGTCTTTGAAACGTCGAGGTAATGAAGAACGGATGCGCTCTGCCAGTGCATGGAAGTCTATAGGGGATGGTCTGAACGGAGACTACGTGGAAACTGACTGTGAAGTGTCATCTCAAGTTTCTGGTAGAGTAAGTGTTTCAAGTTACAGATCCGACGTGATACACAAGAGAAGATCTAGAACACACAGAGAATATGAAGTGATTAGGACAAGCTCAACAATTAAAGGTGACTCATCATACCGAAGACGTCAATCTGAAAATTTCAAGTCATGCATAATCCCAGAAAACTCGAGCTCACGAAGGGAAATAATCTCAGATATTTCCAGGCCACGGGGCAAGGACGAAAAATATCCTCATTTGAGAGATATCTGGTCTTCTGCTGCCAAGACCGATTTTTTCAAACCAAGTTCTGACTCTGGCCCACACAAAAATAATTCTTTAACTCAAACTCAATCCTCGGATGGGAGTTCATGCAACACAAGTAGAAAATCGTACGACCCTGAAATCGATGATAATTTCAACGAAACGGTGTTTAGCGGCTCTTTTATTGACGACCGAAGTCAATCAGTAACCCCGACCAACTCCCCTACAAAATTTTGTGCATTAAAAATTGAAAAACAGTGCAATGGTGAATTGCAACAATGCAAAGCTATATCTGAGGATTCTAATCGCTTCGCACAGCATTTAAAACAGACGCAACCTTTGCTTCCATCTATGTTATACAAGCTAGAGGAAAATGTTTCTCCAGTAATAAATCCGAAATCTCAAACATTATCCTCCATTCACAACCAGAGAAACCTCACCCGAGATACCAACAACCGGTTAAAAATATCCCCAAATGATGGTCGGGACGGACGAGAGCTAAGGCCTCACAAACAAAGAAGTTCGACGTCGCTGAACCCTATCAAAGCGAAAGAGAATTACCCTGGTGACTGCTATTCTTCATATGTTTTTGATAATTATTCATCACATCATGACTTATTTTCATCGTTGAAAAGACACACTGCTCGGAGTAACAAGGCTTCATCAGACCATGCCCCCGCCACGCCACTCACACCTCGCCATAGTTCTGTTATGAAGCTAGCGGGCGCTGCCAACGATCCGGGCGACTGGTGCTGAGAGGCAGTGATGCTTCATCTTGGTTACATAGCATAATACTATAATAGATAACAAGCTTTAACTTCATATATGTTTGGATGTTTGTATTAATAATAATACTTCATTATTGTCACAATCTAACTGAAAATTATGATTTGGCTTGATCATCTATGTCCTATGACGTACGAGGCCGGAAACGCACATTCAAATTCCGTCATTTATAAGCACAGAAGAGGTTACTCTGGCAACTTAACTTATAATAATAATAATAATAATAATAGCGGTTTCAGCGTTATTAGGTCGTAGGCCTGTCGCCGATTCTTAACATCGCAGAACATTCACAGCATTTTGCGGTCTCGAACTCGCATCTCACTGCTACAATTCTGCTGTGCTTAACCGCCCGGCCTCCTTGCCGACTCTGACCAGAAACTGGCGCACAGAGCTGGGATCGAACCCGCGCCTCTCTGCGCCAATCTTGGTACTCTGAACTTTAACCACTGGGCCACCCTGCCCACCCTTGACTAAAATGTGTTGTCATCTATGGAAATGTAACTTTCATCATTATTCATGTTTAACCTACTATCATGTCGTGGTTAATTGTGCTATTTGGAGTGTTAAACTCATGAGTGAATATCGTATATTCATGAAAAATTAACGTAATTTTCAAGATATAATCTCAAACAAATGTACGGCAATGGCAGTAAATAGTCGAAATTTGTGTGTTTATTCTGTAAGTTATCCGTAATTAAGTTGCCACGGTTAAAACTCGCAGTTATTGCGAGAGTTTTTTATTGATCTCACAAGCTGATGAGAAGGAATAATTGTTTCATCAGGCAAACGTTTATTGCGTACTTTATTTTATATTAATCTCTATTATTCGTAAGCGCAAAGGTTTTTTCTAGGTCGCAGCTCGTTGTTTGAATATAATGAAAATTGAAGAGTATAAAGGTATTCTAGAAAAATTAAGTACTAGAATTTATATTAGCTACCGACATGGTTTTCTTACTTATTCGTATAGTGTCAAACATTCAAATAACGTCAAATTATCCTCAACAATTCAAGTCTACTACTCGCTCGTATGAGTTGCTCATATCCCATAAGTTCTCACTCGTACAAGAGGATTTGGGAATGTAAATAAAATAATTTTCTGTAGTATTCTTAAATTTTATTGTGAAAGTATTCTTTAAACAATATTTTAATTATATGAATGGAACAAACGGGGGAAAACTTGGCCTTAATAATAAAGAATATGAGCACGGTGGGTGAATTGTTGCGATATTTAATTAATGAAAATAATTGACAAAAATGTGTGTATAATTTGATTGGTAGATCTTCATTAAATAAAATTCCATAAAAATGTAACACATTATTCAAACAGTATTTCACAATAGAAATTTGTGTAGCTTATTTTAGATCCTGAAGAAACTTTGCAACGATACAGACATTCATTCCATCATTGCAGAAGTAGTCCCTGGTAATCCAATGTTCCAAATAAGGACATTACAATACAATGTTCCATATGTGGACTTGCGTTATACGAATTATGGGCATCTGTTTAGCACTGCTGTTATAACCGTTTGTCGATTGGAGCAACAGACATCCAAATAACATCTTATTTATCATACGAGAACCCACGTACAACGCCTAATTTCGTAAACTTCGCTCATTTCGGTGATTATCCTTGCATTCTTTTGGGGAAACTAGACTAGGCTTTTTTGTGAGAATTTCCAGACTAGCAAGAATTCTGCTCCTTTTTATGTTAATTATACGTTAACATTTGTTAAAGTATACATAATAGCTGCCAATTTGATTTTTCCTATCCCTGCAATAAGGAACTTCTAATTTTATCCGAATTTAAATCCAGATTCGCACTAAAATTGATCTAAAGCTTTGCAAAATCTTCTGACATAACTGAAAACATTTCAAAATAATGGGAAATAATAAGAATACCTGAATGCAAAAACGTCATACTCATCAGAAGTGCAACTCGAAAAAAGAATGGATATTCATAAATTGAACTCCGGAAATGGGAAGCAACCACTCCAGTACGGCGTAGTTCAGCTGGACTGTGTGGTCGTGTGTTAACTACAATATAATAAAGGGGAAAATTGTGACTTAAAATAGGACAAATCTTTCTAATCTTTAATCATATTAATGGAAATTACGCATAGCAGGTTACTCAAAGGACATGAGCAACGGGCGCAATCGTCTAGGGAAAAATTATGTTTGAATGATCGAGGAGATAGAAAGTTAATTTTTGCAACTGAAACTTTAACGAATGTTTCGCACTTGTTCTTTGAATGGCATTTGAAAAGAAAATAGAATTAGACCTTTCCTAGGCTATATAGAACAAGCTTTGGTATTAGAATCTAACTGATTTTTTTTAATTGTGCGGTGCACGAGAATTTCAATTGATTGTTCAAATGAAAAAAAAAAAATCCTAAAAAATTGTCCTAGAACTTCTGGTTGAATGCACGAAAACTGACGATGGATGATAAATAAGTCTAGGAATACAAGTGTGGAAACGAGGGAAAGGCAATCTTAAATTTTACGTTTCCTGCGGGACAACTTAAAGCAGATCCGGTGATTCCCGACGAACTTTACCCGCTATAACTTGGGCAAGAAAACGTTGGGCAAGACAAGGTTGGGCAAGTTTTACTGCTTGACTTCCTTTTGCAGGAAATGTAGGACGTAGTGCAGGACCAAGTCATAGCAGTATTTGTATTCCGTCTGTAAACGTAAGGGAAATACCATTTAAGCATTATTGCAACACGACTTACTACTTTTAGACATGAAATGACTTGAATTTCGTTAGTTAATATGTTCAAGATTTAGAACGCAGAGTTTTAACCTTTATATATGACTTTTTCATGGGTAAAGAGTCTATTAAAACGGCGCCTTACGCCTACAGATTTCACTCCGATATCATAATAAATAATGATTAGTTGTATTCATCGGCCGTGTTGTTCGATGCGATGCAATTATAAATAATTATTCCTTGTATTGAATAACCATGCTGTTCGTTCAGATATCATAATGAATTATGATAATTGTATTAACTAACCATGCTGTTCACACATCATGATGTATTATGATTATTGTATAGACCGACCATGCTGTTCACATATCATGATGTTTTATGATAATTGTATAGACCGACCATGCTGCTGACGAGCTGAGGACGGTGACGGCGCACAGTTCGGACGGCCTGGAACACGTCTACCTCGCCGTGCTGCACCACCTGCTCTATGCACGCGTTCGCAGCACAGTACACGCCCGCTCGGCTCATGCCGTCTCTGCAAATTACGGTCAATTTCATACATTCTTCTCATTATTCTAAGTAAAAAATAATGTGAAATTTCAATGAATAGGGAACGTCGCTATGCCATAAAACTACAGAAGAAGAAGCCAAATATGCATTAATTGTATCGAACAATTTACAGTTAATGCTGTTGAAAGCAATAAGATCACTGAAATACTCGTATTATTCACCTGCTCGACTCATGCCGTCTCTGCAAATTACGGTCAATTTCAGATGTTCTTCTCATTATTCTAAGTAAAAATTTGATTAGATTAAATTTCTATGACCAGGTAATGTAGCTATGCCATGGAACTACAGAAGAACAAGCCAAATATACATATATTGTATCGAACAATGTGTAGTTAATGCTGTAGAAAGCAATATTGCCTGAGATCACTGAAATACTCGTATTATTCGCCCGCTCGGCTCATGCCGTCTCTGCAAATTACGGTCAATTTCATATATTCTTCTCATTATTCTAAGTAAAAAATTAATCGGAAATTTCTATGACTAGGGAACGTCGCTATGCCATAAAACTACAGAAGAAGAAGCCCAAATATACATTAATTGTATCGAACAATGTGCAGTTAATGCTGTTGAAAGCAATATATTGCCTAAGATCACTGAAATACTCGTATTATTCACCCGCTCGACTCATGCCGTCTCTGCAAATTACGCTCAATTTCAGATATTCTTCTCCTTATTCTAAGTAAAATTTAATTGGATTAAATTTCTATGACCAGGTAACGTCGCTATGCCATAAAACTACAGAAGAACAAGCCAAATATACAGATATTGTATTGAACAATGTGCAGTTAATGCTGTTGAAAGCGATATTGCCTGAGATCACTGAAATACTCGTATTATGCAATCAATATTGCCCGAATTAGAATTGAGATTACTGGTCTGCTTTGAACAAAGAAAATGCCAAAAAACAGGCAATTATTTTGGTCAGAAAGTTTGGAGGCGAGCTGCACGACAAGTTTTCTAAAAACTGCCCGAGCAAACAGAACAACAATTTCCGCTACAAGTGCGGCAACTGGAAATGCTGAGGAGTTGAATGAACTAAATTGTACTATGCGTTGCATTCAGGGTATAAATAGTACTCAGTTTGGGTTGACGAATACAAATTATTGAAATTCTGTCCAAATAAAATGTGTGAAGAGGATATGCTGGAGTTTTACTGAAAATTTAAACTGTCAAATGCCAGTAGGATTGGTAAGTTTGTGAAACCTATAAGCCCAAATTTACCTTGTTAAAGTTATACATTGAGTCTGCCGAATAAACAGAACAAGGGGACGGCCTAACTACAAAGTTAAAAAAAATTGATAATTTGTTTTATGATCTCGTTTTGTAGGTATGAAACAATGTGTTTAGTTAGTGCGTGCAACAGTTTCTAACATGTAATGAAGGACCATTTTCTCACAATCGGCGCAAAGATTTCTTTGATAAAAATTTTATTTATACATTATTATTTGCGTTGAACAGGAAAATATGTTAAGTGGCCAATAATGGTACCCTCAATACGAGTATTAAGTGACGGGAAATGAAGGTACTGTACCTATAAATATTTTTTTGCTTCTTCTTGGATCCGTTTCGGTTATCCTAAGCAATTGAAATTTAGATTTTACGTCATCATATCAATCTTTTCCTTTTTTACAACATCGAGTCGTAATGCAAACATCTGGCGACTCAAGAAGCGCTTTTTAGGATTTAATTATTGTTTATATATTATATTTTTAAAAATACGGGAAGATAATCGTCATTTCTTGACCAGAAAAGTCAGATTTTCTTTAATAAGACCGTTGATTTTCCCTCCAAAATAAATTACAGGACCTGATTACGCACTAACACTAAATCTTCACGCAGAGGAATAAATGAGTCATATTGTCTTAATAGTGACAAACTTTACACACAGCATGAGCAGAGAGCGGACGTAGCACTGATAAGTCCTTTTGGCTGGCCAAACTGGGTCAGGTTGACCCATACAGGTGAAAAAAGAGCGTTTTTCTTTATATTGTCTCATTCATGTCTAGGAGGGTAATTATTAATAATAGTAATTGTATATATTAATTTAATGTAAATCTTGATACTGATGACTGTGTACAGTGTGTGACTCACTTTGTATGACTGTGTATACTGTGCATGACTTACCGTGTATGACTGTGTACAGTGTGTATGACTCACAGCGCATGACTGTGTATACTGTGCATGACTTACCGTGTATGACTGTGTACAGTGTGTATGACTCACAGCGCATGACTGTGTATACTGTGCATGACTTCCCGTGTATGGCTATGTACAGTGTGCATGACTTACAGTGTATGACTGTGTACAATGTGTATGACTTACAGTGTATGACTGTGTACAATGTGTATGACTTACAGTGTATGACAGTGTATTCACAGTCATACATGTTGCATATTTATGCAGAATAAAAAATGTAAATAGCGAAATATAACCCTCTCCCCATGACGCACGGACTGACAACGATGACAGGTCCGTATCCAGTTCGTTGTCTCCACTTCTCGACCATGTTCATGAGCTCGACGAGCGCGTTCGTGGACGAAGGAACTTTGTGCCCTTGAGGCCAGCACATCAGCTGGAACAGCTGACATGTCTTCACTTCAGCCTTGATGCCTGCCATCAGCTCGGTCAGCGAGACTATCTGCCAAATCGAGTTTCTAAATAAAATTACAAGAACAAACAAGGAAATAGAAAGCAAACTCCAACTCCTGTATATTTCGACCCAAGAAGACCAAAAGAAACCGGACGATGCACAGAAGTTTGATTGCAGGGTTGTTAAAACTGAAATATAAAACTGATCTTTTCCGATAGAAGCTGCGTAGTGCGGTGTCCTTTGAATAGAAATTAGCGTCAAGCGTATTCAGCTCGGGATCATGTATCCTCCAATTAAAACAAATTAATGACGACCTGGTGTCAAAGAAAAAGTTCCTCTCATTAAATAAATGTTTTTGTCCATGCTATTACCACGGGAAAATGCTTGGCTTCAGTTTAAACGGCCATGTTAATCAGCCATGAGATCGTTTTTATGGAGGTTTTGGACAAGCAAATTATAATTATCAAGATTAAATGGAATAAGTTCATTCTTTCCTATTTTCATTTGAAGAACCCATTCTGAATTTTGATGGTCAGCCATGTCCATCATTCATGTAAATTCTACACGCTCCATGTTGATTAAAAATTATGAATTATATTAAGAAATTTCCTCTCATTAATACGCGATTTACATTGTACGGAGTCGGTCCCTATATGATTTATTTATCTGAGTACCCAGCAAATTCCAAACCAGGGCTGAGAAACGTCTTAATTTTAAGATAATAAAGTTTTCATTGGGAAAAACTTTGACGTTCGCGAGACACGGCCATCGGTAAACTTCCAAGGCTGAACTCGGCGTAGACATCCAAGGCTGAAATGTCGAGTGATAACTAAATATTAGGTCCAATTTCCGCAGACTTTCCTGACCGTCGCACTTCTCGCCCAAATTCACTGCTATCTTCAACGGTGAACCGGGCACGTGTTATTAAGTTAATAATTAGTTAACTTGCACACCCTAATCTCTTATTTTCAATTGAAACAATTGTTGTATATCTTATGACCTGTGACACTTCTCTATTTCAGACACTTTGGTTGAAATGAAAGCAGCGAAGTCATATACAACAATGTCAAGTGATAATAATCAGAATGTGCATGGCAACTATGAAGAAAGAACTATTAATCTCACCTTCTTTTGTAGTTTGAAGACCCATGTATGAATGTTATCGTAGTGTTCATGCGACTGATGTTCCAGAGTAAATACTGGGCCGTACTTGACGGTTCTTTGTTTCTCAGGCCAAAACGGGGGATAATTCTGTGCATGAAAATTCGTCAGTTCGAGTTCTGGGCATGTTTAGTTAGGTATACATAAAAGTTTATATGAAAAAATACTCTTATTCTCAAGAATAATTTACAGGATCATTTAAACTAGTGTGGAAAATGAGAGTCATTTGAAATAATTTATAACACAAAAGGGAAAAATTGAGAATGAATTTATTTGCATGGCATGTAAATTATTTTCCTTAGAAATAGTCCTAGAAGTTCTATAATTATTTATTAGAGTGAACGCAATGCACCATTAGGTTTTGTATTATTTTTAACGTAAGAAAAACCACACATGTAAGACACAGTGGAACACCAACACACGTGCAAAATAGAAATATTTTGAGTGATTATTCACACTAAACCAATTTTTCTAACAACATATACGGCATTTTACCTGGCTGCCTTGGGCAGGTTCCAGCAATATGCTTCTTTTGTGCCAATAATGTTAGCTAAAAAACTCAATTATCACATTCGTAGCTTTTGATTAGATAGCAAGCCAACCAAGGAAGAATTAGTATAGCTTGTTAGAGTAGTTCACCCAAGTTTTGCAAGTTTTGTGGGAATAGCAGACAAAATGGATCATAGGGGGAAAAATGAAGGAATAATTTCGCTGGTGGTCATACTCATTAAGTTGCTAAGTAATGAAAAATTAGAATGCCAACATTTCTAATATTGATGAAAAAAGGCTCGGCTATTGGCTAACGGCTATTAATTTGCACCGTGAAAAAAATAAAATTGTACGCTTTAAAACGAGCTTCCGAAGGAAACCAAAATAAATCAATCTACGCTCCACCGCTGGACACCTAACAGTAAAATGGCGGGCCAGAATTTGATGGCTCATAAGCAACACGATTATTTTCTAATCTAGGCCAATAGCGGTTAAGTAGTTTATGATGAATAATTCATGAACTTAATAAACATTCTTACACGAGGTACAGTACGGCACTGGTTCACAATCAGCAGGCAGGACTACTTTAGGATCAAAATTAAGTCGGGGTTCAATAATTTGTGTTTAAAATAAACGACGGATTGAATAGGGCATCGTCTCAGGGATCATAATACGTCAGAAGGATCATTGCGCTAAGGACGAGGGATGAAAATTGTAGTAGAGTTTCAACAAACGACTGGTTGAATATGGGATTTTCTGAGGGATTGCCAAACACGGAAGGGATTGCAGTTCATACCGCGGTAACAGGTGGATTGCAGAGTACGACTACAGAGCTGCAATCGTAGTCGTAAACCAGCGACCAAATGTCTCCTAACGAAGTCTGAATAGGCCATTCTGTCACAATGTACTCTCGAGGATGTGTGTAGCCCTGTGGACATGCAGTCACTGTACAGTTTTAAGTCGCAAGTCAATACGAACTTTTTTAATTAAGTTACCATGAAGAGATTCGGCTTTGTTCGCCGACCGCATGCGTACTCATGCTAACGTAGTAAATTCTTCAACTTTCCTTAGTGACGCAGCGTGAAGTTGGCGTTAAAATGATATTCAAATGACAAGTAACATTAACTAAACGTTATTTTAAAACGTAACTAGAAGAGAGTGTTTGATCGGAATAGGCCGAAAGAATCGCAAGAAATGAGTCGAATGAATCGCACACTATCATTCCTACACGCTTCAAACTCCATTATAATTATCTAGCGAGCGAAATTTGATATTAAGGAAAGAGGTCTAACATTATGAATGAATATTGAATCAACAGTCCGCAAAAGATTATTCGCCGTTTGAGTGAATGGTAGTGAATTTCAACAGATCCTCGATCATTTATAGCATACTTTAAAGCGCAAATAATGCATGAGAAATGGAAAAGCTAGCAAAAATTGTTTTGCAGATGTTAAAAAGCAGCATAGACTACCAACATCAGAAATTTAAAACGTTTATTGAGCGAGTATTTCAAAGCAGGAGTAATTAATGTTGCCGAGCTGTAACATCCATGAAGTAGTGTGAACTTATGTGGACACCAAAAGAAAATATGTTCGAAGGTGTAAAACTTTCACAGTCACATTCTGAGTCTTGTGCTGGACCAATTAAATATCGGTTAGAGGAGCGTCTGCAGGTGGAAATCTTCCCGAGAATGATGAACAGTTTATAACAAATTATTTAAAACACATCTCGTCAGTGAGTTACGCACGAAATTGTCATCAAAAGAATAATTATTTACAAACAAATCATCTAGTTATAGAACTATCAATTAGGCAAGGAATTAGGAAGCAAAGAATTATGAATGAGTCATCGAGTTGAAGCTTATGATTGGAAGGGTAGAGTTCAACTGTTGTTGGGACTTGCCAACTGCAGAAAACTCATGATTATCCGGTGGCTTCTTTGTCACATTTCTTTGCTATTAACCATTTATCGAGCAAGCGGTCTTGATTCATTACGATATTTAATAAATTGTAAAGACAATTGGCGAAAAACTCCAACTTTAATCAAATTAATGACAAAACTTTACAACTGATGCATTATTTGATAAACTTGTTCGATAAAAAGTTCTATGCCTTATTATTTACACGCGTACAGATAGCGCTGCTTCTTGATCCATAAGCGATAGCGAAGTATACATTTTTGGGAAGTGTTGGAAATTGAATCACCGAAGTCAGCTTCTTACCGAGTGTTCTGACGCGTGCGGACAATAGAGCACCACGACAGAGGTTACGTCGTGATCGTATACCAGGGACCAGAAGTCACCGAGCGTTGATTTTATGGGCCACTCAGACACAACGTACTCGCGTGGTCTTACGTAGCCCTGGTGACGACAGGGCAACGCCGCACGTATTTAATATCACATCAAATTCCTCGTAAAATTATTTCGTGATGTTTGTCTTGAAAAAAAATTTCGGCAGGCCTCTTCCAGCTTATTCATGTTAACTGAATGATCCACAAGACTGAGATTTATTCTCACAAATTTTTGTTTCTTATGCACTTCGCCGTCTAGAAATATATTTTACTTTATATCGGTCCCATCACGTGAATATATACAAATACCCGTATATAGTTGGATAACATGTATTAAATGCGGTTACTGCATAGTTCTCTAAAAGACTATAATTTGATTTATAACAAATTTATTTGGTGTTTACGGCTGTAATTTTGTAGATTGGAAGTTGAGAAGTAATTCTGCATTTTTCTCAGCACATGTCTGAATGCGAAGCATTGCAAAATATAGTGTTTTTTAAAATATAGTGTTTTTTAAAATATAGTGTTTTTTACTGCCTCATACATACGACCTCCAGTATATATATCGAATCCTTCAGTTCTGTCTTCAGAATCCAGGGGTCGATATAGAAAACTTTACTGACCTCTAGGCTCTAACCATCTCTTATGGGCGTTGATTTTTGCTGACAAAAATAACAATTGGAAACGGACAAGGAAATACGTGGAAGACGAGTAGTTTTTTGTGAAGAAGTTTCGACTGCGCTTTGACCGGCCATCATGTTTCGGTGCCCTAAGGGTCATGTTAAGGGGCCCTTAGGCCATTGAAAACAAGTAAAATTAATGGTAATAAATCGAAGTGAACAAGAAGTCCATTCGTTAACAGTAGCTTATGAATTATTTAATAGGTATTTCAGGCCTACATAATATATCTGAAGTGCGAGTTATTAAAGAACTTCCTGTGAATGAATGCGGCGACATTTAGACATTTTCTTTAATCAAAGTTTTCAGCCGAAAAAATACACCTGAAGGCATTCAGCCACCATTGATACCGGTAACATTAAAGAACTTAAAAAATAAAGGTTGCACCAAATCTTTTGTTATAATGGACACTTATGTGTGAAAATTCAGGTCATATTTCACTAAATTAGCGATCAATAATACCTAATTTTTCTCAAAAGAAAATACCCATATAAATACCTATAATTCTCATGATAAGTAACATTTCACCACTACCATCCCTGTTATTATTAAAACAATAAAACTTTAAAATATCGTTAATGGGAGAAGTGTTCGACCAATAAATATAAGAGAGAACAGTATTTAGGTGCGCGTGGAAGAGCAGCAAGTCGAACGTTCCTCTTTAAGATGCTCCGATGCTGCGCTCGCCGGTTTTTACGCTGCCAGCGTTCTTGTATTTTCAATGAGCCTGTCTTTTGTTTGTTATTCAATAGAATATTCTTTAGTTCGATTGATGTTTCTCCATGTTGAAATCTCTTAATACAAGGTTTCTAGTGACATTGAGTTTTTTTCTTCTATGAAGTTTTTAAACAAGGTTATAGTTGGTTGCCATGATTTCAAAATTTAAACTATGAATGTTTAAGCTCATGTATTCAACTCTCAAAAATTCGGCTGATTGAGCTGCAAAACTTGCCTTCTCCTTCACTTCGAACATTCAAGAAACGTTTCATGACGGTCCGAAAGTTCACATGAAGTATAAAGCTCCAAATTACATAGTAACTTTAAGGAATACCTACAATGCTGGTAAATATTGTCTTTATAATTTTTGAACTTGAAGACCAAAAGCCTATCTATAAAATATAATACAACAACTGCATTAATTATGAAATAAAATATAAAAATGCACCTCCGTGATGTCTCTGTATAAAACCATTGTTTTAAGGAGTGGTTTAATTGCATGTAAAATAGTTTAATTGCTATCCACGTATATACTGTTTATATTATATTTATATTAATCTATACTATATAATAATTATATAATATAATTAATTATATAAGTATATATTAATAGTTATATTATTATTAATATATTATATTATTTAAATATATCGATACAATATATAATTGTATATAATATATATATAATAAGTAGATATATTTTTAATAATTTATACTAATCTATTCAGTTCATGCAAACTTAGCATAACATTCAAACTGTTTCTTCTGTATTATTGACGCAGCCAAGGCGCCCGTGTTGCAGTAAAGCTCTAAGGCCACTCGGAGGAGAACATTCACACATAAAGAGAACACAACATAAGACCATCAATCGCGTCTTGTCTTCCTGGTGGCGTCTTCTACGAATCAAAAATTACGCGATAAAATTTTGTACTCTAACAAGATTATGGTGGCTAACATTACGCCTTGAAATTAGCTTATTGCTATGTAATAATTTTATTGGGTGCGGAACAGACAATTCGAAAATTTTATTGATTCGTAAATAATCCGGAGAATAGATGAGGAATAAATGCCATGGACTCTCGGTTTTCAGGTATTGGGGTTAATAGGCTTATGGAAACCCGATAACTTCTGATTCTGAACGAAATGACATTGGCATGAGTTTGCTGATATCGAATCTTCTGTATATTAAAATCATTAAAACGAGCTACGAGTCCAAAAATTTTAAAACTCTAACAATCGACAGCTGCTAGGGAGAGATAATGGGGATATTCACTGTGCATATCAAACACCTTAAACTTGTTCAGTTTTTGGACGATGAAAAGAAGCAGGCAATACAAAGATCCTCTCTAAACTCGCAAATTCGAATCCGAATTTGCTTACACAAAATGCTCCACGTAATCAAAATATTACGGATTTCATGTGGGACTGTAAACTGGTCACCATTTAAAACAACTTATGTGGGTTTCACAGCAATAATGTTTACCAGGTTGAATGAAGGATATGGCTGTTATTTTGGATAATATTCCCATGAGCAATTTCTCAGAGAAATTGAAGTTATAAGGTATAAACAACAGAGCAAATCAAGTCATTTATCTCAACATATTTTTCATTTGGCATTTATCCTAATTTAGACAAGTTCTCGAAATTTTGCATCGAGTTTTTTCTGAATTGATAAATCCTTAGAACAGGAAGTGTGAAACAAATTTCGTATGGAAATTACGCACGTACTTTGATTAATTACCAACGAAGTGTTCCAGCTACGTTCTGAACGTCGCTCATCTTCGTCATCGCGTGGAAAATATTTCGAATCTCGCATTCACGCGCTTCTGAAAAACGATAAAATGAACGTCATGTTGATGACAGCCAGAAAACTCGATGGCATCAATGGTCGCAATCATCTGATAGCGTCGCGATGCTGGAGTCGCTCCAGCTCTTCATTGGAAATCATCGGTGCACTACCGAAGCCCGAACGTCGGCCATTCAGACATAAAATTTGAAATATCTCAATTCAATATCGGGAAAATTTTACAGGTATTTTCACGTAACTGTTACAGATATATATGTGCAAAATATTATAAAATAATGATTAGAAGTCAAACTATATAATGCAATTCTTGTAAAATCGTTTGGGAAGTCATGAATTTTTGTTTGGTTTTTGTATTCATTTGAAATTTTTTACGTGCCCATTGTTCAATGATTTGATGTTTAGCAAAACCTGAACATATGAAATATATGGCTTTTGATATGAAAATAATTTAATTTGCATAATTGATTTTGATTTATTAATATTAGGGCACTTTACAAAAAATTACTCAACAATGATTTGTTAACGGAATTACAATTTTTTTCAATCAGAACAACATTTATCTGTAACAAATATATCATCAATGTTCAATCTTTTCAATCAGTCCGCGTTACTTCGACTTTGTAATTGTTCAGTAATTTTTGTAATTTTTCTCCAACATTAAAGCAAAATATATCATGCCGACTCCTGACTTTATTCTAGCAATGGCTCTTCCACGTTATACATATATACCGTATAATTTGTCAAGTCTCCCACTATTACCGAGCCAACACTACACGTTTTGGTCTCGTATCAACCTAACTCAACAACTAATGAAAGACAGTTGATATCATCAATTCGAAGATATTGAGTGCTTCAAATTAACAAGACGTTCAGAAATTCGATTATTTACTACCTTTTGATTACTTCAGTTATAAGTAGAGGGACTGCTTCTCAATTAATTTGAATGTTGTTTTCAAGATCTTAATGAACTACACGTAGAAAAGGTTCACAGTTTCCAAATTTAAGATATTTTATTATTTAGCGGTACTCGCTGAAAAGAAGGGAAGATCTTTGGACACGAAATGAATTATTGAAACCGTAGCATTTGAGTGTGAATTATTCAAATTTTCGTTCGAAAATGACTAAAGTTTCATCTCTGCCATAAAATCAAATAGCACGCGTAGAAATTGAATTTTATGAATGGGTAAATTTGATATAACTGGAATTTACCTCAGTGGTCACATTTGTGCGCTTAACAGGTACACATGTTGTGACCTTGATTAAAAAAAACATCGAATGTCCGCATCAGATTGTGATTAAATTTTAAAAAAGTAACGAATATGGTCAGTTTCCTGTACATGTAGCATTAGGTTTCCATACTAAATACATTTATATCTTGTTACGCTTTTTTGAGGGATATGCAGGTAGAAACAAAGTTATTCGTCACACTAGTGAAATTGATGTAATAACCTCAACAATTTGCTAGTTTTACCTTCGATTTTATTACAAGCTGTGCCAAATTTTAAAATCAACATTTTACAATGGGGAAGGAAAATTTTTCTCTTGATAGAAGCAAAACTCGTCAATTTACTAATGAACGGTGCATGTCAACATGGTATGCACGTTGAATTGCACGATTTCTTTTTTCATGTTTGAACTAATCAATTTACCGATTAGTGCTTACACAATTCAATATTATCGCGGAAAAGAAGAACATTCATTCTTCCATGAGCCCGCCAATAGCAACTTCATCAACTTAGAATGAACTTAGAACTTTTATATCCGAATCCTTGAACTTGGAACTTTTATATCCGAATATTGATAGAATCCACGTATCTGGTAGATTTTCTGGAATCTATGGGGAAAAAAAAGACTTATTTTTTTGTAAACTCACGTCGACAAAGACGCTGTTGATGTAGTCGGTGCAGGCGTTGCCTTGGAAGGAAGTCAGGTACGGCCGGAAGTTGTCCGCTGGTTAGTGAAATGGAAATAGATTTATCAAAAATTTATCTTTTAGAATGATGAAAAATAGCTGCACTGAAAAAATTTAACTGAAGTGAATGAGTTGCCCAGCATCACGAAAAATTGGACAATAGTTTTTATTTTCTTTTTATAAAATTAAAAATAATTTCGACAGCAGGATGAAATTCAACGTTCGCTTGAAATCCTGTTCTGGATTTTATTTGCTGTTGATAGTTACCGATGCTCGTCCTGAATTTCATTATTTATAACAATGATTCTAACTGTAAATATTTTATTTAAGAAAAAAACACTTAATGGTTACTGTGCCACGGAACGAAAGTGAAAAATACAATTTTATTTGAAATAATTCTATTTCAGGTGAAAACAAAAATTTTTCTTTGAATGAGGATTCAAACCGCAGAAAATAAAATCGCGAAATTCGCTAATTGGTTGTGTTCGCTTCCGCCAAAGGTAATTTGGAATTGTGTGTTAATGTTTGCAGGTTGAACTTATTAATTAATTGTTGATACCTTCAGATGATTCACTTCATGATCATGAATAAATCGCTTTATATAATATAATATAATATAATATAATATATAATAATGACTGGTGGTAGCATATAAAGTCCAGTTGATATAAGCAGCAAATAAGAAGACACTAATTTATGAATGCAAAATATTTACAGTAAAATACATACGTACAACAGCACAAATACAATGTTATTCACAGTAACTCACGCGGCACACAGAGAACGTTCCTGTTCTTGAAGCGGTTGTCAGCTCTGTGGCCTCCGGCGCAGTCGCCGATTGTAAAACGAGGAGTCATCTTGCAAATTGTCTGTTGAAATGTTGGTTAGTATCAAATTTTATTATTTGGTCAACACGAAAAAATGTTCTTCGCGTCGACTATAAGTGAACATCACAATGTCCTCACAAATGCAAATTGATTGATTGTTAAAACACATTATTGCCAGATTAGATGGTTCATTAGGTACATGGAATAGAGTTGACTTTCCAATGAACTTAAAATTCTAATGGTGATAACTGAAAAATAAGATCACGAAGAAAATGATTAATCAGGGAAAATATTCTAGCATGTCTGAAAAATGATATTGCTTAAGAAAACTTTACTCATTAATAAATTCTAACAGAATTTGGTTAATACCTAACTAGCATTGAATGATGCTGTCTTTGAAAGTGTGATCAGAGCAATTAATTCAAGTCTATTCAACAAATTTGTTTTACAATATGACATATGATAGGGACGCAATAAATGAATTGAAATGTTGAACTTGACTCTACGCAGTATTGGTAAGGAGGTATGCAAAGACTTAAATTGTTGAGCACCTTCCCACAAGACCACGAACGCTGAATTTAATGTTATTTCGTTGAGTCAACGTTTATTAAACGTTGTTTCGACGTCATTTGCATGCTGACTATTAAATATGAGCTCCCACTGGCAACCCGTCTTTTTATTCCAGGTCTTCTTTTTTCGACGCCAAAGTGGCGTAAACCATAATACACATTTTGATTTTACTACCCGAGAAAATGTGGCTTCTTAAAAAATAATTCTCAAAAATTATTAAAGGAAAAATTAAGTTTTCTGTGTTTTCCCAAAAATGTAGAGGACTTTTTCATAAATTAGCACTTCAATTTAGGAAGAATCTTTAATGAAAGGTAGGGAAAAATTTAACCAAATACCGACCATACATTTGAATTTGTTTTAAAGAATATTCAAATCTGAAGCAAAAGGTATTTGTATAAATAGAAGGTAAAGTTTACTTTACTTTAACCAGTCGTAATATCATTGACGGCTTCGTGGAATTCATCTCATGCGTTAAAAAATTGTTTAAAACATTTTCGTGAATAAAATTCCATTCCTAAATTAATATCTATGCAAGACACTAAATGCAACAATTGCCACAATAGACACTGCAGTTTCTGTGAATTAGACTTGGTAGGAAACACACAACAAAATACTAAGAATTTTATTATCAGAGTAACTCCAGCTACAATCGATGTGAAAGGATCAATGACAGATGATACACACTTTATTACAATATTATTGGGCTATGATTAATGAGCAAATCGGGAACGCCTCAACCATGCCTCCGATATCGACAAGACCCCAATTGCAATAATACAACTTGATTCGAAAATTGCAAACCTATATCATCAAAGGAACCATTATGACCAAACTGATGAGTCTCAGCTTAAGTTCTAATGTACGATTGCAAACAATTAAAGAAATTTAACTGGAATTGCAGGTTCAATTTTGTGGACAAATTATGTTATATGCTTCTTGATGGAGCCAAAAGTTTAAAGTAGTCGGTGTGAAATGATCGAAGAGGTCCACATAGCAGTGTCATATTCGTATGGAATTAGGATGAGTATATCAACGAATAAATTAGAATGACTCTGAGTATTAAGGGCTTCGAAAACATTCAAGTACGGTAATAAAAATTACATTTTTTCGCTGAATCCTAAATGATAATTTCATCTTTCATTAAAATTACTATCATGAAATTTAAGACACATAATACACGAATAAGATTTATATGATACGTAATCAACCTGCAAGCAAATCAAAAGTAGATTAGCACAACTCTCTACTTATTGAAACATCGCAAGGTCAGAATGGAAAACTGCAAATTGCAAATTTTTTTTGTAAAACTTGACCGCTGAATGACCATTACACTTCAAGTTTTTGTGAGAACGCACTGACTAATTTCCTATTTCTGCTCCATTGAAAACCACCACTATACACCAAAAGTATATGTTAATTTGAAATTAACGCTGGGGACCAGGATATATGAGAACATCTACCTTTCAAAAAGGATAACAACACTTGAAATATCCTACTTGAGCCAAGGAAATTAGTAGTATTTTTGCCAAACTGAATGAATATGGAGCACAGTTTTACATGCATAGTTAACTTTTTTAGATCATCGATATGACAATTCAGTAATCTATACTCGTACTCTTGTAGCCTAATAAAGTAGAAATAACTTTTCAATGCAGACCAATGAAATATTCGATCGCACACATTACAAGCAAAACAGAACTTGTTCACAAATTGAATTATCACCTAAAGATTGTCTTATTGAAGTTAATAATGCTGAAGCGGTGCACATCATGGTTTTGATTTTTCTCTTTATAGAGGAAACGTTCCAGAATGACATCAGTTGATGCAAAATTACAAATAATATACTTATCTAGCACACAAATATATGAAGGGGGAAATTAATTTGCTTAAAATTTCTGATCGTGGGAAGCTAGAAATGAAGCGGCTTAGGCTGGGACCGGCAAACTATGTACAATATTTACAAATAATTCAGATGTGAGTGGGCAGAGACAACCTACTGACATAAATGAAAATAAAAAAAAATCCAATCAAAATTTATTGGCACTATAAAAACATTATATAATGCTGATTAATCTAAGTGAACCATTAATTTAAATGAAAAAATTATGCCTAGTAACTTTCATCATATCTTTATAGAAAATGTTTCGAGGACCAGCTCCATCATCATTCAACAAAGTTTTTTAAACTGATGATAGAGATGGCCTCTGAAACGTCTCCAAAGAATACATGGTGAATTTATTTAGTAATTTCTTTGTATTTCAATGCCTGATTAACTTGCGATTAATGATATTTGTGTCCCAGTAAACTTATTTTGGATAATGGGAATTATAAAATAAAATTATGACAAACTTTATGCATTAGATTTACTGCCTATATTTTAGTTTTAAAAGAGAGATCTGCTAAAAAAATCGTTATAATTTTTTGAAAAAAATTATCATTTCAAAGCTCACAAGAAATGGAACCAGCGTGACCGATGCGGGTAACGACCGCGCTAATTGTTCAGTTTCAGGTCATAAACCAACTTGTTTTCTAAGCATTCTTACGGTAAAAGTAACTTTATATGTACTGAATAAAGGGTGCGAAGTGAATCGCCTAAGTGAACAGATTCTTAGTTATCACCACAGTGCATCGATGAGCGGACTAATAACGCTTCTAAATCATCTATCCGTTGCTATGCATGTAAGCATCACAGGCAACCGCGAAAAGCGGGGATATACGAGAAGATTTTAACCCTTTACAATCTAGTAACTCAAGATTTGAGAAGCATTGCAAGCGAAACGGGAAAAACTCAGTGTATTGAGAAGGATTAAAATAGAAATGGAAATGATAATCAACAGTATAAAGAGCTGACAATGCATTGGAGTAGCACCGAACCACTATGCTTTGAAATATATGGTCAGCAACTAATGAGTTTGATTAATAATTCATAAAATTAATTAAATATATTAGAATTTCGTGCAATTAGTTCATGCTTTTCCAAATGGAGAATCAGATTCATCAGACCATTCAACGAGTGTAAGTGAGAAAGCTGAAAAAACTCTGGCTTCTGGAATGAAAAATGGAAAAATAAAGTTTGTGGGAAGTCGTACATATTCCTTATATACACGCATAATATTCGTATAAATGCTAGATAGTATTAAAATACAGCCATAGGAGCTCAATACAAACATATGATAGTAAAATAGAAACAGCCACACCGCTTAATTATACAGTCGCGAGTCCCGTGCGTCACTCTACATTCCTCTGGCAATTGCTTCATCACCTTAGAAAATATTCATGGAAACTACGTGACTTCGACTTTATTTATAACAATGTTTTTTATTAGATTTAGTAGACATAACTGTTTTCTGATTTGCTTGATCTTATAATTTACAAAAAAATACACAAGTTGAATTTGTGTATTTGCTAATTTTCTTCGCCAATTTTATCTACGGTGAATGTCCTGACCAAATTTTCGATTTCTCTCCTCCAAGTAAATCACTTCACTATCTCAGTGCATACAAACTTAAATTAACGAGAGGTGACGAAACTGCTTTTCTTTATCACAAACTTCGACTCGAAGCCAATATCCTATCGCTCCACGAAATCTGCCTAACTTTCGTATAAGAAAAGTAGATCTTTCTTTATAGGTGCATACTAAAATAGAGATTAATTGTTATGTACAAGCTGTTGCATGAAATATATTGTTAACACAAGTAACCATTACCTTACTACGTTGAGGAAAGAATCCATGAAATTTCAGGCCTATTATGTCAATGGCATGCGTGAAATATGAGGCTGCCTTTCAAATATGATGATATAGCAAGTGTCGATCAACATGGAAAATAGAATAATACACGTTCATACACGGGCAAGATAAGAAGGAAAACCGTGGCAAGCCCTCATTAGAAAATTGTTAGCTGGATGAATTAGATTTTAATTTTATCATTTAAATGACTTTTAGTCGAGCTTTTAATCTTTTCATTTGAACTTTAGTTTACAAATTTTAGATGAACATTATTCCTTGCAAGTCCACAACGATGCTAACGATTTGCCCCCTACTGCCGTGAGAGCTGAGACTGATTGTATATTGTTTACAATCGAATCATTGAGTTAACAGGCGATACTTGAATAAAATTGAATTAGAAGGTGGCATATGTGGCCATGACAAAGCTAGTTGACTCATTCTATAACAATATGCTAAGTATTTCTTTCTACCAGGCACAGCCACTCTTGTTTTTAAACGACCAAAAAGTTGGAGACGAGTTAAGTGATCAAGGAACGAATCTGTTGACAACGTCATCGTCATTACTGAAATGAAAATCATCTTATGGAAATTAAAAGAGATTATTGAATAATTTCGCACGGCATCGGCTCTAAATATGTAGGTGTTTTAGTTTTGACATCTCTTTCATAACCGATTCACATATACAGAGTATATTCAAAAGTTGCAGCTCTGTTCATAGAGAAAAGATGCATCACGGCATTGTAAAAAATTTTAAATTTTGGATGGAACCGAATTGAAGTAGATAATAAGGACACGTGATAACTACTTGTTTTGAATCGGAAAAAATCATTCGACTTCCACATGACTGTTGAATCCCGAGTAGCAATTGAATATAAACTTAATGTTTATGTTCAACGACGAGCAAGTTTTCCATTGGTTCTAATGAATCGAGAACAAACTGTTTCATTGCTGGGTACATATGATCGCCATGAATATTACTTTGAGTTGTGTTTTGTGAAGATAAAAGACTCCGAGTTCCTATGCAGACGCTGCATGAAAAGAAGAACATTCTTATTTAGTAGCCTCTGCTGGAGGATATTAGAAATTTTTTAACCTAAATGGAAAATTCATTGATGTAGATAGAGAAAGAAAAGAACATGCAGGTTACATTCAGATTTGCCGAGTTTTATTACATTAATTTCGTTAAATACGGGGTTATTAATATAAATCTGAAACCTCAAAATTTTAAAATCCAATTGAGCTACATTTGCGCTTTGAGGAACCATAATGAAGAGTTAATTAATTACAGAATAGCTACGACGTTCACTACATTCGACATACAACCAGCCCATGAGTTGCACACATATTTCTAATGGGTACCTTACCGTAGTTTCCAATTAGAGTTCAATGACACTTTACGAACGTGATCAGCTTTACACTCACTCTAATTTTTGCAAAAATTCTAAAAGGGGCAGCAATCGATATTCCCAGTTCTCATATAACATTATTAGGTTCTAAATCATGTAACAAATGATTAGATGGAACTCGAAAATCTTCTCGATCCTGACAGAAAAAGCTTAATTAAGAAATATTAATCTTATTTTCAGAATTTCTTACCTCGAACTCCATTTGATATTCACTCTTGCCATTAGGTCCCTTGGTGGACTTATGCTTGAGGCGCTGCGATAGCTCGCTCACGGGAAAGTAGCTTTGCGCGCACGTAAGATATTCTTCCAACGCTTCGTAAACAAACTTGTATCCTTCCTGAAAAAAATGTTAGTCTTTCTTATAGATCGTTTTTTATGTGTATAAAAAAATTCCCTAAAATTTAGCTGAGTATAAAAATTCCTCCTTAATATCCTTCCTGAAAAAATTTGGGTTTTTCTAATAGATTATTTTAGCTGTGTATAAAAAAAAATCATTAAAATTTAGCTGTGTATAAAAAAGTCCTCCCTGAAATGCTTACGAATTTCACCTGTATTTAGAGGCTGAAGTCCAGGGTCTGACACAAAAGTGGTGGCACAAAAAATATATGCCTATCGACCCACTGAATAACTTGGTATTTATGAAAACCTTGCATTAAGGGGACCGATTGATAATTTTGATAACTTCTATAGTTATTATCCGATTGACATGAAACTTCACATACATACGTAAAATGTAAAAAGAAAAACATTTTGCTCCTGTGAATTTTTCGAAAAAATTGATAGAAAACGTGATATTCATAGAAAACGGACAAATAACGGGTACTTCAGAAAATCTTACTGCCCTTCTTTGGGAAGCTGTCACGAAATCATTTTTTGACGCACAGGGATGATTCTGGTACCGTTGAATGCGTTGAAAAGTGAGCTTTAAGATGAGCCCAAAAAGTGGAAAACGCCAAAATTGAAAATTTTAGGTTAGACGGTCCCCTTAACCTCACTTTGTAATTTAATGATAGAATAATAAAATCAGTTACTATGAATTCTGTAAGTACGCGAGGAGTTCTTGTAACCCGAAGCCACGAAAAGTATCAGTTATTTTCTTGATGCAACCTCACGATAAACCCCCTTGAAAAACTACGATACGACTTAGACGAACAAGCTACGATAAACTTGAACCCCCGCGAAGTTGCCTCGTAGCTTTTCTCGAGTTCTTGAAATGTCTCCTGATTTCTCTTATACCAAATGTTGCGACCCATGTCTATTTTACGAAGCAAATCTGACAATCCCTGTCAGCCGAACATGAACAGAAATATATCGATACGACCAGGAACAAAACAAGAGTCGCTGCTCATGAAGACAATGGAGGAAATTTTTGAACACACTTGTAATTGTTTGAATGTTTTGAAGAATTCGTCGTGAAACACTGCTATTGGTGTACGAATTAAAGATATCGCTAAAGAAGAAGCCAAAATAAAATTTAGGAAAAAGTTAAGTAAAAGTAAAAGAATTAAAAAAAGTAAGTGCAGGGGCAGTGTCATACAATTAATGTGAACCTAGATTTCCTTTGACCTGTAACGAGGTTAATAATTGGCTAATACATTTCAATTATATAGTTCTGTTCATATATAGGAATCACAAGATTTGCTGACTTCAGAAAGGATTTCAATGTTCATTTATTGCACTCGTTCATGGAAATAATTATTTGAATTTCTATTCCAATATTATAATTCGGCTGTAGATATTTTCGTCTTGACTTCTAATATTTGATTTGTTCTTGTACGTAAATTTTAAGTTCTTTGGTAAGGAGGGGGCTAAGAACCAAGAATTAATTGGCACTCGGAGCAGCTGCCTCATGTAAACTTTAAGCTTGTTCAGTGATGACTCAAATATAATTTTGAAAGGCGCTTGAACTTATTAGATTAGATAGCATTTTTTAAGTCTGGTCGTCAACTTGAATAAATTCAGTTGTGTTAAGTCATAAAAGTGAGCCATGATCGAGTGCGGACGCGCGCAAGTCTGAATAAGCGCAAACTTATGAAAGTAAAACCCGCTCGATTCCAAAAGGCACTATGAAGTCATCGGTAACAACTAAGCAAAAAATGCAAAATAAAAAATAATACATATATTTTCGATAAATTGATATAAAAAAAAAATAATTTTTCGTGATTGGGTAAAAGTAATTAGATAGTGATGCTAAGGATATATGTAACTATTTGGCAGAAAATTTAATTAATTTCTAAAAGGTATTATGAATAATGAGGAAATTAAGGAATTGATTCCATTACAGAAATCATTGCATAGAACTAAAACAACTATCAGATCTTGTACGCGTATTTATAGTTGGGGAATACTTTTTTTCACACTAAAATGATTTCACAAAACGATTTATTGCAAAGTTCTATGTTATTTAATGGAATTAATGTTGCCTATTTCGCCTCTATACCTATTTAGTCTACCCATGCCACCAATTTTTTGGAAACTGGTTTCATATTGAATCAGATAAACGCATGACGATGATAATAACGTTGAGTTGTGCCTATTTCAAGGAAGTAATCAAGATTGATCTTACGACGCTCTCGATGAGTCCCCTCCTGGCCTGACGCAGCTTCTTCAGGTAACCGTAGATATCGAAGAGACCGTCCTCCTCGTACTGCTGCAGGTTGGCGTCAATGGCCATAAACACTCCAGACCGTCCACCGCCGTCGCTGTTACAGAATGAATTTCAATAGTCTAATCAGGGATCCAACGGTAAAATTACATTGATAAAACGTTGTTTTAACAATATCATCTCGTAGGAAAAACAAACCCTTGATTTAACTAGCGTTTTTCTGAAGCACTTCGTCTCCGAACGGCACTCTTCGTGTCGAACACAGAGCAGCCACCAATCAGGGATCCAACGGTAAAATTATTAGATTAGATAGTATTTTTCAAGTCTGATCGTCAACTTGGATAAATTGAGTTGTGGTGAGTCATAAAAGAGAGCCATGATCGAGCAAGGACGCGCGCAAGTCTGAAGTATTTGGTATTAACATGGCCATAAAACCTGAGTTATTATTAATAAAACGTTGTTTCAACGAAATCAACTCGTAATCCACGTCTGTTCTACGTCATTCGCTTAAGTTTTATCGGAGTCAAAGTACTGGGCACAATCATCACCTGCAATGCACGAGTTCTGGACCATCTCGAGGCGTGGATTTTTCCATCCGCCACAACATAATGCGGCGCCGGAACTCGAGCAGCGCGTTGATGAACGGCATCGCGTGCGACGGCCACCCTGTGTAGTGGAACTGCACCACCTCCCGCACCTGAATATTTTGTATACATTTCAAGGATTAATTCTCTTCAGACAAATGATGTTGGGAAAACGTTGATTAAAAGTTGATTTGTTGGAACAAAGTTGATTGTCAGTTAATTCCGCTGATACCACGTTAAATCAACGTTAATTCAACGTGAGATGTCTGGTGGGTTACATCACTGTGATCAGAGCAGCAGAAATAAAGTATGATGAACTTGTGTAAAGATTTGAACTTTTCTAATGATAAATTCTTTCACATTGATTCTGACACTTCAAGTGCAGGAAGTCTCATATTATGAATGTATCAGCGCTGGAGTTCAGTTCAGTTATACAGGTGCAACATAGAATAATTATTAATGATTGCGTCTCGAATTCAGTGCATTTCTATCGTTTAAAAAGAGCTAGAGAGATCATCTTAAAAGTAGAAGAAATGCATAATTATGGCTCCCGTTTATTGGATAGAAGTAAATTTACGCGCAAGAAAATGCGTAATGCTGATTAATTAATATTCACATTTATCATTAACGAAGCATTCATAGTAAGAATGGGACTTGGACGTCCGCCTTGTTCAGACTCATTAATAAAATCTTTACTTCAAATACTCTGAACAAAATATGAGTATTATTTAGGAAATGGTTCACCTTTGAAGCGCATGTTTTACCATATAATAATTGATACTATAATTTTTCATTCGTCTGTAGAACTTTTCCATGGTGGTCTTCATAAAAACTTTGTTAAATTTAATACGAAAAAGGCAACTGAAGGGTGTGACAAAATGTTGCTTCAACCAAGTGACAAAGTGTTGTTGCAACCAAGTGACAACATGTTGTTGCAACCAAGTGATAAAATGTTGCTTCAACCACAAGTGACAAAATGTTGTTGCAACCAAGTGACAAAATGTTGCTTCAACCAAGTAACATAATGTTGTTGCAACCAAGTGACATAATGTTGTTGCAACCAACTGACAAAATGTTGTAGCAAGCAAGTGACAAAATGTTGTTGCAACCAAGTGACAAAATGTTGTTGCAAGCAAGTGATAAAATGTTGTTGCAACCAAGTGACAAAATGTTGTTGCAATCAAGTGACAAAATGTTGTAGCAACCAAGTGACAAAATCTTATAGGAAGCAAGTGATAAAATGTAGTTGCAACCAAGTGACAAAATGTTGTTGCAATCAAACGACAAAATGTTGTTGCAACTAAGTGACAAAATGTTGATGTAACCAACTGACATAATGTAGTTGCAAGCTCACCTCGTTGCCTTTGGACACGCGCAGTGTTCGCATCTGGAAGTTTGCGAGTTCTTCTTCTTTGAGAAGCTCGACTTTAATGCCGTCGTAGTCGTCTTTGGTGCCGACATTGGCAGGCCAGTACTGAATGCACATCACCTGAGACAAAAAAGCTGTTGTTCGTACTTACAATATTAATTAGCCGTAGTTAATTAATTAGGCGACTAAACAGCCGTAGTTAATTTATTAAGCGACAAGAAAAGCCATGGTTAATTAATTAACAGATAAACAAACCGTGCTTAATTAATTAACATACGAAAAACCCGTGGGTAATTAATTAACAGACAAAAAAAATCGTGGTTAATTAATTAAGCGACGAAAAAAGGAGATAGAATAAATAAAGAGTTCTGCTGTCGTCGTTAGATTAAAATGCGAGTTATGATCGCCTAAAGTAGAAAAATTTAGCTAATCTAGTGTTGGGAAGAATTATTTTAGCCTCCAAAAGTGAATGATGTATCCTCATCCGGCAAAATCATACTATAACGTAGGTAGCGAATGCAAATGAGTCAATTATTATAATTATTATATCAATATAAACTAACACGGAATGTAGGAAACGTTTTCATTTTTGCATCAAAATTAAAACTTTTCTCATTAAAGAAAGATCCCAGCCCTAATGGGATCCAATAAATTAATTACGCGCACAAATTAAAACCAGTTTCAATTTTTTATCTAAAAAATGATTGAAGAAATGGAAAGACTTGTTCGTAATCTTGAGGCTGCCGGATTTATTTTCTGAAATTTGAACTAAACGAAGATAACGAGGCAGGCCATTACTCAAATAACGCAAAATAGCTGCAGACTATAGACAGAAAAAAAGAATGATCATGTATTATATTCAACAAGGTTTATATAATATCGTATATAAGAAGACGAATTCTGTCTTGTGAACCGATCGCTGATGAAATAAAGCAATAGTTATAGCGGGTTCAGCGTTTATTAGGCCTTAGGCTTGTCGCCGGTTCTTAACATCGCAGAATATTCACAGCTTGCTGCGGTCTTGAACTCGCAACTCACTGCTACAATTTTGCTTTGCTCAACCGCCCGGCCTCCTTGCCGATTCTGACCAGAAACTGGCGCACAGAGCTGGGATCAAACCCGCGCCTCTCTGCGCCAATCCTGCATTATGTTGCTCTGAAATTAACTGAACTGAACTCTGAAATACTGGGCCAGAAGAGATGAATAAGATGCATTCTGAACCCAAAATGCAAGGCAGAAGTCATTTATTATCTATTGCAAAGAAGAAGTCGTTTGGTCTGTTTTACGACGCTAAAAAATGTACTCTGTCGATCTTCCACAAAAGAGGTAGCGTAAAGTAAAAATGTTATGCAATATTTTAGTAGAAGCAATAATAGTTTAATTTAAACCAACATTTCTTAGTAGAACTGGCACGCCGCTACCAAGAACTGGCTGTTGGTTCAGTGTGAAGCTTGAATATATGACTGCAGTTCTTCAGTACTTGGAGCGAAGAGTAGTTCAATTTAAAATAGTGTAGCAAATATATACGTTTTAACACTGGTCCTCAGACAACTTGCTTGGTTTCGGGGCCGATAAAATTTGACCAATGACTAGGGGAGTCATTTCCAAGTTTGAATGTTCGATCAAGAAAGGCTAACAAAAATTTTCGAAGTCTCCACAGTGAATTATTTCCTGCATCGTTTGGTGAATTGCAGACGGCCGCCGCAGCTGCGCAACACGATGCAAATGTGGCTGCTGGGGCTGCGCTGCGTCGCGTATCGCTGAAGCTGAGTCGTGTATTGCATATACTGAACCGTGTATCGCAGGAACAGAAGCGCGTATCGCAGCACTTGAACCGTGTATCGCAGCACCTGAACCGTGTATCGCAGCACCTGAACCGTGTATCGCAGCACCTAAACCGTGTATCGCAGCACCTGAACCGTGTATCGCAGGAACAGCAGCGTGTATCGCACGAGCTGCGGATGGACAGGCCGCGTGTGCCGCTTTAACGTGCAGCTCTGCCGCCCACCAACCCTCCTTCTCCTCCCCACATTCTCATCCCCTTCTCCCCATGCATGTCCTCTCCCCATGCATATCCTAACTCCACGTGCATTTCATCTCCCAATTAATTTTCTTCCAACTACGCCCATTCCCCTTACCCTCACGCAGTATCCCTCGCTCATGCATTTAAGTATTTCCTACAGGTATCCCACTCTCCCCATGGCTGCCTTGCTCCCCCGTACATTCCTCACTCCTAATTGCATGCTCTTCGCTCCCCAAGTATGTCCGCTTCAAGTTATGTATGGGTCCCTCCTGAATAGGAATTTTTTAGATTAGGACGGAAAACTTTTCACAATAATTTTTAACTTAGAATGGCAAAACAAATATTTCTTAGATCTCTTTTTCTTATAATTGTAACTCCTGCGGAGCTCCATCTTGTCAGTTAAGACTTTCGTTTTGATGCAAACTTCGATTTCATGTCTCATCATTTGCATTGAAGCATTAGTCCGCACCAGTTCAGATAAAGAGTTCACGGAATTTATGTTGACTTTTTCAAAAGAGGCTCATCAGAGAGGCGATGATTGGGTGCCCTTCTAATCATTGAAGAATAAGCGTGAATTGAACATTGGTGTATGTTTATTTGAATCTCCGAAGCCCACAATCCGAAATTTCGCTCAATAAACAGACCATTGAAGAGCGCATGGTTCATTCCTGCTTAAGGAATTTTCTTGAGGATTTTTTCTAGAACTCGTGTTAGGTTCAATAATCATCCAGGTCATCCAAAATAAAATGCGATCTAATATATTTTTTTATATTTTGGCATTCAACGCCTCAAAATCAGAAACGAATTAGAATTTGATTTCATTCTAAATAAAGCACAGAAACTTATTATTATTTACATATTTTTGGTAATGCTTACTTCATCAGGCGATCTTGCTTAAGCCTTCGTCCGTAACTATACCCTCTCCTCAATCCTAGTAACCCTCGATCATTCTCCCTTGCCTTCAATATTCCAACACACACAATACAGTTTTTAAATCTATTTCGCTCGGCCTCGACCTCGATTTTATCTCTTTATTATGTTCCTTCTTCTCTCCCTCGTTTTCCCCTCTTCTTCCCTCCACACACTCCCCTGATGCTGCTGCTCGCGGCTACATCCATTTTTGATGGTTCAATTTCGGGATGCCTCTCTTTTAGAGCCTTTATCTGTTCAGATGGCAGCGCGTTTGTGGCTTCATTTGGAAAATAGTCACGAAAATTAATTTCGTGTTCGTCAAACTTTGAGATCGTTTGAATTTTGCTAGCGAAGCTCACAGAACCTCGCATGTTTTCTTAATAAGTTTTTTTTCGTCGCATTTTTTAGCCGGTGGGCAGTACTCGATATTGAAGCACTTCACGTCTTACTTGCAATGTTTATTAGTCTATGTCAAGAGACTAAAATATTTAGGTAATTTTGAGACGAACCGTTAATTGATCAAGTGAACGAGCTGTTTTTCTTACTGCTGATACATTTCATTCCATCAGCCACCTTTCCTGACAGCTTCCTACATATTTTTATATCACTAATTACATTCGAAATGATAGTGGAGAAGCAGAATCGAGACTAGAAGCTTCATAATTCAAAGTAAAGATAAAACATGAAGGCTTCAGATTTGATTTATGTATTAATATCAGACCAGGTTAATGGTTTTGGATCGAACAGCGAATTAACGACATAAAGCAAACGCCCGCACCCTCGCGCCACGACGTCATCGCACCCCATAATGAGTTATTAGTTATTACGAGTCACTATATCATTTGAAAAGAAAAATAACGAAATGATGTTGCAAGCAAAGCGACAAAAGAAGGAAAAAAGTAATTAAAGAAGGTCATTGGTAGTGAACCGGGGAAATTATAAATTCCTATAGAAGAAACCAGTGGTACCCTGCTAAAAGATGGACAAGCTGCTCTGCTACAGCATGCGTTATACAATGAAGACAAATTTCTTTTTCAGCTCATGTTGATGATTCCGTCAGGATTACAACTTAGCCTGAGGCTAAAAGGCTGCGTATTTTCCTCGTCTTTATCAAGGAAAAATTCGTCGTTTTAATGAGTGAGAACCTGAAAAATTGTATTCATCCAGAAATATATTCCGATCCGGATTCTCGTGAATGTAAACATGATAAATCCAACTTTACACATGTTGCTGGCGATTCAATCAATATTCATTAAATGTTGCTGGCGGTTCAATGGTCATTTCTTGGCTGTCATTTGATGTCAAACTATAATGAATTGCATGTACATGCAATAGATTAGTTATTGATTTAAATATTCTAGTTATTGATTCAAATATTCTAGTTATTGATTCAAATATTCTAGTTATTGATTCAAATATTCTAGTTATTGATTCAAATATTCTAGTTATTGATTCAAATGTTCTAGTCTCGGATGCACACGTGATACGAGGAGCGCGCTTCAGCAGACTTTCTGCATATCTTCTTGGTTGAATGAATTATGTTATTTGATACCACTACACCTTCGATGGCGTGCCTGAATTTTTTCATGCTATGATGAACTAATCACACATGTTTGCACCAATGATCAAGGTTTCTCCATTCTTTGAGAAACATGAAATAGTGTTCGTTTGCTGCTAACCTTCAGTATTGAAACCTCTGACTTACTTGATATTTCTTATAGTCTTTTGAGCATCTACTGTTTCATTGAAGAGCGCTGACTAATTGTCAGCGAGTACTCTCAATCGTAAATTATTTTACAATATGTCTCCAAGTTCATCCACCTATTGTCTTTAATTTTTAAATTAGTTCTTCACCTTGATGAAGTCGAATGTCTTGGTGAGCATGATGATAATCCTGCAGTTCTTCTGCCAGACGAGGCGCCAGAAGTCCGGCACGGTTCCTTCCTTGGGTCCTTGCGAGCAGATGTAGTACTTGGGTGTAAGCAAGCTCTGCGGCAGACACAAATCCCAAATTGATCAGAGTGCCACGAGGCACTTAATATAGTGATTTATGCAACAGAATATTTTCTCTTGCCCTACATGAAGAAACATCACTGCGACGTCGGTAGATTAATTTTGTAAATTGCTCAGTAAGTGATCGAATGTTACGGATTTTCTCATACTTCAAATTAGTTCTGTCTAATTTAATTCTGTCACTTAGATAACTTGAAGATGTGTAAAAAACTAAAACTTTCAACGATTTTGCACGTTTTTGTCAGAGCGACATGAACGAGTTTTCAACAATGGCTTAAGCTGGCTAGAAGTAATGCAATATATGCTAGGCTATGAAGTGACCTCGTAGCCGCGGCCAACGTTCCAGCTAGAGAGCCTCCAGAAATGTTCCATCTCAAACAGAAATTTAGGTTCATCCAAATTGATCTAGGTTCAGGAAATAAAAAAGATTTATACTGGAAATCTGCAGGAAGCAATCTCGATGCTAATTCTTACTGTACTGAAGGGTACTTAATACATAGTATTTCAGCGCTCGACGAAAATTATTGCGGCAAGTCTTCGATATCAATATAAATTTCTTAGCATTTAAATCGACTTATGGCATACTGTTTAAAATCATCTTAATTGCTCACGTCGACGTAGGACGCGTTGATGTAGTCGGAGTCTGGTACGTCTGGTATTGGATCAAGTACCACTCTGTTGTAGTCATCTGGAACGATAGCAAAATGATGAAAAGCTAGCATAGCATTTACAACCCAAGTGCACGTATAGATTTAAATTTTCATAAAACAAAGCTCATTAATGTCAGATTTTTGACTACTGTGCCAGAGCGTCCAGTTCTGCTTTGATTTGCAGATTCCTAATCAAAAGGTTTTTAATTAATTGCAGGTTTCGAATTAAAATATTTGTACGCATCATCAATTGACACGCCGTGCACCTGATATTTCTCTAAAGTAACGAATATTCAGCAAATAATCTCCTTCGGACAATCAGGTTGTGAATTGGTTCAAGAAGGTTAGTACGTATTCAAGACAAACCAACTGATTGAATTCAATAAATGTAAAATGCATACATGAATAAACATAGAAGGGTCAAAAGCTGGTGTGTCCACTTTTTAGGTTCAACGAAAATTTTGTATGTCTGAAATAAATCATTGAAACCTTGCCTAAGTTATGAACCATCAAATAAACCAATCCTCTCGGATTTTAGTCTGGACCTAATGACGCTTGCAAATGAGAATAATCGGATTAATTATCGCTGGACTGACACTTGATTAAAGTTCGCGGGATATGTGGTCGACTGGGACTACAAAAACCTAAATAGCACGAGCGGTAATTTTTTCCTGCTTCTCTTTTAAAGTGTATTGAAAATTACAGGTTGATGCGAGCACGGCTATCAATTTGAATCGTAATTAAATAAGGTTCATGCATTATAAGTTAGTTCACGAATAACAACTCTTCCTCTAATAGTTGGAAGAGCTGGAAAGAAGCTGGAAAACAAATCTTTAGTGAAATTGGATCGACATACGCAAATGATTGCAAAATTTTACGTGAACAACAAACCGAGATGGAATCAAATATTGGGTTAGTGATGAGTATTGGGTTTTGGTTCACAAATGTCTTCCGAAATCGGTACGAAGAACGAAGATTTTCGAACGCATTTCTTCAAAAGAAAGTATTTAAAATAATTTGTGATAGATTCTATCCCCATTACAGAAAGAAGGCAATAGGTAAGAGGAAAATATTGTACCTGCCTAGAAAATACTCGAATACGAATGAGTCACCAAAAACAGAGTCAAAATAAGATACTTTCCGCTTAGTTACGGGCGAAACAATAAATAACTTGTCAACGAGATGGAAAAACTTGAAGAAAATCAGAGTTTACTCACATGGGACGATGCGCTTGTTTTGGTTTTTGGGCTCGTTGGCTTCTTTGAGCGCGTGTCTGATTGTGTGCGGTTCGACTTTCGTAGCCATCTGAGGAAAGAGAAAACTTGTATTACTATTGAGAAATTTCAATTTCTGAGATATATTACAGTCATTATAGATTGCCTGGAAGGTAATACATACAACTGGGTTATCAAGTTGAAGGCTAAAAAAGGCAAATAAGCATACTCGGATAGCAGTAGCAATATCATACCGGTATGAAACGGGCCTTGATGTTGGGAAAACATTTAAGAATCAGCTAGAAGTTTAGATCGTGAGTGGCTCCTGCACATTGAGCGGAAAACTAAAGGTGCGGGGGAATGGGAATACAAAATTATTTATTGCCTTATTCATGAGTACGGGAGAAAGAGCGGGGCACATAATGGACAGAGCTACATGAGAGCAAGATGGAATAGGTATGTGTAAAAGAAACGTAATGGTAGCAAAAAAAGAGGAGAGCAAAAATTATCAACTTGAGACTCGTTTGTGATGTTCAGAAGAAATATAGGAATGACCAAAAACTCCACATTTATCCAAACGCCAGATTTTCAAAGTGTCTATCTGGCAGGCAGGAAGACCAGGGACTGATTAAAGCTCATCAAATGAACGGTCGATTTGGCCGGCCTCGCTAAAGACCTCAGGCAGAGAGTTCTTCTGACATGAAGTTCATTAGAGAAAATAATCCTCAGACAGAAAGTTTATTAGACAGAAAGTTCATCAGGCAGAAAGTTCATCTGACAGAAAGTTCATCTGACAGAAAGTGTCCTCATATATGTAGGAAGTATTTCAGGCGTGTTTCTCAAACAGAAAATTTATTAGAAATTTTATCATACATAATTTATTTCAGATATAAAAATCCTAATTTAGAAAAGATCTCGGACGAAGTTTGTCATACAGAGAATTCGTCAGGAAAAAAGTTCCAGAGACAAAGTTCTTCAGACAGCGATCCTCTCACACAGAAAGTTCTTCCGACAGTGATCATCTCACACAGAAAGTTCTTCCGACAGTGATCATCTCACACAGAAAGTTCGTCAGACAGAAAGTTACACAGGGAGACGGAGTCAATCAGAAAGCTAGAAAATGGTCAGTGAGAAGATATCGGTGGAATTTCAGTCGTTAAGAGAGCTACTCCAGACAAATAAATGCAATAAAAGGAGTTTTTCATACGCTATATGTAATGGGCCCCAGTAAATGATCATTCTTTATCAGCTTATTGCCGCAAAGGATTGAAGCTTCACTGAAAAACTTTTTAACTAAAACTGACGAAAAAGCGACTTCTCCGGAGAACGGGAGGATTGTATTTATCATTACAAATAAATACAGATGAAAGGGCATTCGTACGTCCGCCTTATTTCAGCAGTCATAATACACCCATACCATTGTTTATTTGGGGTAGAATTTCATTAAAAGATTTAGTTCACGTCCTCCCACTGTTTTCAGGTGAGTCAGCGGGGTAACCGAGTTTATAAAGATTATCTTTGGTTTGTTATACCTAATACCTGGGCAGGGTGGCCCAGTGGTTAAGGGCAGGGTGGCCCAGTGGTTAAAGTTCAGATCGAGTACCAGGATTGGCGCAGAGAGGCGCGGGTTCGATCCCAGCTCTGTGCGCTAGTTTCTGGTCAGAATCGGCAAGGAGGCCGGGCGGTTAAGCATAGCAGAATTGTAACAGTGAGTTGCGAGTTCGAGACCGCAAAATGCTGTGAATGTTCTGCGATGATAAGAATCGGCGACAGGCCTACGGCCTAATAACGCTGAAACCGCTATTATTATTATAATACATTGCTTCATCTTGATAGGTAAATCTGGTTCATTATTTGAAATGGTTTTCACTTTATTTATGCTAATGAAGCGACTCGTGTGAAGGCTTACACCATCAGTGATCATCGAGCTTCAATTTGAGGCATTCCGAGTAATTTTTCATTATAAAATAGAATTAAAGACTGAGAAAATATTCATGCTTTGATGCAGCTGAGCAAGAAAATAGATCTATTTTTGTCAGTTATTATAATATATTACTTTTTTAGTTCACTTATTCTACCTAACGGACACGATGCTAAAATATACTGATCACTGTAAAGGTATAGCATCAATAAACATTTTTATTATAATTTTTCAATCATTTTTCTTCAACTTTGGAAGGTTGTTTTGACCGAAAAGTAAATCAGTAATATAGCCGCAGCTCATTACCTTTAGAAATTGTTCATTTTTGAGATTCCCGTACTGCAACATCTGCTAGAATAAGCATGTAGCGGACAAGTACATATATATCTCCGCCGTCAACTGTTCCTACGTCTGTGACCAATGTCGCTTTACCTGATCAGTGTTCCTTACTCATATTTTTTCTTGTGCATTTCATTAATTATCTGATATTTATTTATCACAGCCTTGCCAGCATTTCTATTGTGTATCAATTTTTTATGTTATGTACAGATTTGTTCAATAATTGCAACTGGTTCGTTAATTACTTCATTTCGCACACCGACGAAGCGAACTTATAGTATACAATTATTGAACCTCCTCTTTAGCTTAGAGCTCAGCGCGTCAGGAAGTAGAAATAGTGCAGTGAAATGAACCGTTCTAGATGTAGCGTCCTATGAGGAAGGAGTTACAAGTAAGTCGAAATAATATTTCAAGAGATACTGTGAATTTCAACGGGTGTACCACATGTGGAGCAGGATGCAGGTTGAGACAGGTGATGCGCTCAAAGTGTTAATCTAATAGAACCTGCTTTTAAAACAGCTCATTCCACAGGTTACTAGAACTCCTAAGGAAGACACTTGATTGGAATGAATATCCTGTTGAACAGAGCTATCCATCAAGTTTTTATTCAAATCTCCCATGGAACGTAACTCGACTGCAGTTGTAGTTTAAGCTGTGAAGCTGAGCTCTTTTTAATTGGTCACAAAGTAGCAAGATGCTCAAATTTAAGAGCCAACTTTTGCAGGTGTATAAGCGCACTGCAGGCACGCAACTCCATTAATGCTTCGTCCATTAACCCAACCCCATTGAAAATATGACGTTCGTTAAAGTTCAAAGCTGCGTTTTATCCGCGCATGCAAATCGTGTATATCAGTCAAATATTATGGAAAGATTAGCACTGAAACTAGGAAAAACATTCATTCGAATTTCACAAACGAAAACATCCGAACTCGTATTCATAATGAACGGGATAATGTTTTCATCGATGTTACTGAAAATTAAAGTGACGGGATTGCACACAGCCAACCTATTTATGTCGTCGATAGAATTGATTTGCATCTTAAATCATTTCCCATTCACAGAAATTGGCGATGACTCAAAAGGCCAAGGAGGCTACGCCCCGGATTTCCAATTTCAAAATACAAGACCCTCATGGATATACGAAGTGGCGCTACATCCATATTGCAATCTGAAACTTGATTTAAACTTACTTTGGCAGCCTAGGATTAGAACCACTGAATTAGGTGGCCTGGAAATTGAACGTTGTTGAGAACAGGAAGGCAACACCGTCAGAAATGCGAACGAATGAACAGTTTATGCTATAATTGCCTTCACTAGAACCCAGTGTCAAGGCCCGGGATGCAAATGCTCTATTGGGTTAATTAGAGTTCACCTTTGGTTACCAGAGAATGGAGTTTCGGCGACAACGTTGCTCTGCTACGGACTAGATTGTGAATATAGATTGCGCTCAAGGTTGAGGTGAAGAAGAACGCTGATGAAATTTCTATGCTTGCTGAACGGTAAATTGTCGACTCTGGGGAGCTTTTTCCTACGAAAGTTCAATATGCGCTGATGCTGAAATGCCAAAAACTAGCAAATCAACAATATGGATTGGTTGTAGCTGATACGCATGTACGTTGGCACGTAATTTTTGTCGCACGGTTGACAATTTATTGTTATTCATAGATATGCAATAATACACATTATGAGGTAGAGAACTGGTAGTTTCCCAAATTATTTGCCACAAACCATCCACCCACCTATGCACTTAACTATGCAAAATGTGATTGATCGATTTAATTAATTTCCTAGATCTCCGCCGCCAACCCTGTAGACTTGTGTTTCTTGCAATCTACTTGGGCACAGATCATGATGATTAATACATAATAATTGAAATTAAAATTAATTATTTAGCTCTTCCTACCCGCAAAAGCATTTCATTCTTTTTATTTATGGCCTAAATTGCAAAACGCACAGCAGTTAATGTACGAGTATAAAAAGCATCCAAACCCAACATTCCGGCCTGATTCTACCTCTCTTGCTGCGTCTTGCTTGCCTTGGTCACTGCCGGCACAGCTAAACTCTGCTTAGAATTTTAACGAGGTAAAGTTACCTGGAATTCGACTTTATAGAGGATGGGAAAGCGCCGGTGCAGAGCGCACACTCGGATGTGATCGCTGGCGGGGTAGGGGCGCGTGCTCATAGAGTTGATGGCTTTCGCTTCCTCGGCTGCAAGAACAAAAGGACAAATTAAAATTATAATAGGCAGCACAGACAAATATCTCACAACTCTGAAAAAATTACCTATTGTCAAACTTTGCAATTATAAGATATTAGGACAGATTACCAAACGACTTGACACTCTAGGGACTATTAAGAAAGTCTAAACAGTCCTTGTCTCATCCAATAGCATAAAAATACTGGAAAGAAATCATCGACATTCATCCAGACGCGTCACAGGGTAGTTGGCCAATGGCCATGTATCAAATGCTGCAGTGGAGTAGTGGGGAGTTAGGTTGGCTTGGTTGTACCTATGATGGATTACCTGTTTCTCTTCCCATGATTAAGAGTATTTAAAATTCTGAATCTTTACTCCATTAATGCAAACGCACACTCGCTTCTACATTTTTACAGTAAAAAGCCCGGTGCCGATGTTTAAGCAGCAAATGGATTTGAAACACAATGAGGAAGTTACGTGAAAGAAAAATGTTAAGTTTGTAGAATTGTCTAACATGAGGCGACTTGATGCTGTAGCATGAAGTTTTCTACATAATGTAGAAAATTTCGAAAATGTCGCAATGACTTTATATGCAGTTTAATCAAATGAGGTTTTATATTCTTATTTATGACTGCATGTGCCTTAATTTGATTTTATTTATGACTGCAGCGATATGGAAGAAGGCCTTCAAACGCCCTAATTTATAGCGCTCTCAAACGGCCACTCCGCCCTCGATATATTCACTTTAATTCTTGTCTTACCATTGTGACGGATATCATTATTCATTAACCGTTGTAACATATAACGTTTGAGACAGTGCCACTGGTTGGTGAAGTAACGTCAATTGTCGGCGGTGCGTTTTCTTTTCACTTTCACAAATAATGGTTTCAGATTTCTGAAATAATGCATTCTCGAAATACGAATGATAGTCCATGAAGATTACTTGTTTGTCATCTGCATGCCTGCAGCGTACGCCATGTAAACTGAAAGAAAGTGATTGTCTTGCACAGCATCTTATGCATCTTTTGAGAAGGATGTTTCCCCTGTTACTAGATTCCTATTAGTTTTATTGCCTTGGTTATTTGATGTTGCTGAACCTAATGGATCAAAATGATGATGGATCCATGGATACATAATCATTTTGATGATGATCATTTTAATGGATCTTTTATGTTTTCATAGATATTAATGCCCAAAAGTGTATGAAAGTGTAAAATGTTTTTCATAACATATAGGAAAGTAACTCTTTAACCCGGGTACGTTGAGCTTACCATTCTGGCAGCTCAATGATAATGATAGTTGCACGCTCTCTACACACTAGTACACAATGTACACATTACTACACTAGTACACATTACTACACAATGTACACATTACTACACACTAGTACACAATGTACACATTACTACACACTAGTACACAATGTTGGCTGGGCTGGCTGTTCGTTATCGTGCATCAGTCAAGCACACGTAGCATGCAGAGTGTTAGTGCTAGCTGGCGACTCTTCTTCTTCTTCTTATTTATTCTTATAGGAGCACTGGAAACTAGTCCATAAAGCCCCTTGCCTGAACTGGGTTTATTTGGTACCTAACAATTTAATAGCTTTGAAAGTGTAAATCTGAAACAAAAAGAGAAGCTGGCGACTCAATGAGCAGAGACTAATAGAAGATTGTTACACGTGAACGCAACTCGTCTACGCCTTCATCTAACTTATAAATCTTGCCTTATTTATCCATGAGGCGCATGAGTTCATGAGGCTAGGTACTGACTGATGAAAGTGAGCTCAATATTATTAGTCATGATACCAGTTTGAATATTACTAATCTTACTGTTTGAAATTAATCTTTAAAAGTAATGATTCTATCTTCAGTTTATATTTCAACGCATGATGAAATTCCTTCCGCAATTCAACTTACATTATTAAAAAATTTTGATTATGCACGAATTTGTTGACAGTTGAAGGGACTATCCTTTACTTTTCTATAGGCTGCTATAAAGTATATATATGACAAAAATAGATACCAAATGGTATCTTGTTATATGATTTTATGGTATTACTCGAGCACGATTTTTTTTGTTCAAGGACGTTACTATTCTTGCCCTGATACAGTCTCGCACGACGACATCTTAGAAAAAAATAATCATTCCGAATAAACTAATCGTAATCGCGCTGTTGCCTGAAGCTTTTGAGGTAGAAAAACCAGTGTGTGAATAATGTTTCCACTGCAGAATTTAGGACTTTGTTGAGATTTATTATTGAGGTAAAATTTGTGAAGAAATGGTCTCGCGCGTGAAGCTGAAGTGGTGGTGGAGTGCAAAATTTGTCTTCAATTCCAGACCATTTTCGTTTTACTCCGGCCAAAGCGACGGCATTGTAAGACTCGAGTCGTCTGAGAGCCACGGCTTGTCTCTTGATGTCACCCAGATATCCGACTTATGTCGCAACGTTCTCTTCATCTACAGGCTTCCTAGACGATATTTTGAACGATGTTGTGAGAAACAACAAGTATTGAAGGTGCTGTTCTCTTCATGTACAGGCTTCCTAGACGATATTTAGAACGATGTTGTGAGAAACAACAAGTATTGAAGGTGCCGAAAGCGCTTGTAGTGCCTGGTAAACATTTGCCTGGTAAAAATTACTACTAGGCACTACTAAATATAAGTGTAGAGCCTGATAAACATTACTAAGCGGAATAATTTCGAATCACGTCTTGCCATATTCTCATCGCACTTCATCGTTAAAACAAAATTAGAACCAATCAATAACGAATACTTAAAGTTAAAATTTGTCGTCACAGGCTAGTAATATTCATTTTTGGTGTAGACGAAATTCACGGGTCTTTACTATAGATATAGCAAAAAAATATGATAGAGTGATTGTGAAATGCTTATATTGCACATTTAGAAAGCAGTGAATGACCAGGAAAATTATTGGAGTTCTTTAATCCTACTTTTAAAAACAACTGATCAGATCAATACATGTAGAAACAAAACCTTTATTGCGGATAAATTTGTGTGAATGCTGACCAAAAGCAATTGTTAGATGTTATAAACAGAATTATTTAACTATAAAAACATGGAATTACTCATGCTTGAGACCAAGCCCAAGCATACAACATGAACAAAAATTTTCGTCAAAAGTGTTTCGACATTGCCGCGGCGACCTCGTTATGTTTAAGCTTACAAAAACAACGCGCTTGACGAAGCTCATTAGACTGAAGACGCTTGTTAGAGGCAGCTTGACTACTCGACGGAGAAGTGCTGCGGAACTGTGGCTGACACCTAAATTCTGGAGTAAATGTGTGCCGAGCTTACCCAAGGAATTGATACTAAAAAATTTAGTACAGAACCAACCTTCAAATCACACAAAGAGCAACATTTTAACAGAGCAAGAATAAGTTTAGGAACCGTCTAGCGCTAGCCAATCAACCATATACGGAGGATCTCGAGCCTATTTCTCGGACAAGTTAGTTCTGTAGTCAGCCAACTTTCATTAAAAAAAATCAGGAGTCTGTTTAAGAAATGTCCGATTGCGTTAGTTGTCATTCATTTCTCTGCCTGCTGATGTAATAAAATATTTATCGGTAAATCAAAACGTTATGTTGGTCAAATGAAGACTATATCGTAACGAGGGAAATATATATTAATAGTTTACAGTAGGAAGATATGACATTTTGCACAAATATTTGTACGATTCTTTTAATTTGGTTGTAAACCACACACCTGGGGAAAAAAATCAAGTTTAATTTTAAAGATCCTATTAAGTTTTAGGGCACGGTAAGAAATTATACCCCATATTCTGGCTACAACTCTCGTGGTACATCTTAACACCTATATGTGTAGCGTGCTGATCAGGACAAAATGCGCTACGCAGGAAAATAAACATCAGAAAACTAAATAGTGGCCAAGGGTTTTCAACAATGCTGAATGCAGCATCGTAGTACAGTGTAATTTAATCATAAATTGACATTCACTTGGATCTATATCGGGATGCATAGACAAATATATCTACGGTGGAAGAGCATTGTCCTGACACGTGTGTTTAAATTCATCAAAACTGCATTTATGTTAATCGAAAACCAAACTAAGGAGATTAAAAAAATTCCTATTTTCTCATCGTTTAAATGCATGTAGCGAAGAAATGAAAAAGTTTTAAACTCTAACTTTCACAGACTATCAAATTAAATTTGTGCTGCTCTACTGAAATCTCGGCTCCTAAGGAGCCTATTTCTAGCCTATTGAGCCCTGGAAATCCTCCAATGAATTTCTCCTTTGATTTCAGAGCTTGCAGACGAATTGGGCCCCGCTGAGCTGCCTGGCCTTTCCGCCTCTAATTACACTGACCTTAAAACCGAAGCCTTCGCTAAAATACTGCATGTATATAAGCAAAGCACGATAACTCGCTTTCTTCTAACTGAAATTAAATTACTCAAGATAAATACGATAGATAGGCAAAAAGATTGATTTAAAATATCAAGAATAAATCCCTATACAAAAATGTCGAGTGAACTAAGAGTAGGAATTTGTTGACAGTTAAAAATTTAGGAATTTTAGGAATTTTTAGGAAAATGTAGGAATTTTTGAATTTAGGAATTTAGGAATTTTAGGAAAATGTAGGAATTTTCCGGGCAGGGTTTGGGGCATAGCATGTGATTATAAAAATTGAAATGATATTCCGAGAGAGATGTGGAGTGCTACAATTGCTTTCCAATTACGACAGTGCATTGCTCAGATTTCCATTTCTGTATCATGCGGCGATCAAAGTATTCCTCCCTTGCTCTAGCTTACTTCGCCAAGCTTTGAAAACAAGCAAGCTTTTCATTCCTGAGATTTGACAATGCTCTTAGCAATTCCAACGTCCATTTGATTTCTATGCAAGACTTTCTCTTGGACGAGGGCACAAGATTCGCCTGAGTCCCGAAGCAGCGCCGCACTTGTTGCCAGTGACGACCAAATATTTGCCTTTAATATGCGGTGTTCTCGAGCTCTAGCTGTTGTCAGACGACGCTGC